ATAAAACTGCCAGTAGAAACATTAGGTGGAAGCGGTAGTACTAGTAGTAGAAATAGTAGTCGTAGTAGTAGTAGTAGTAGTTGTAGTAGTAGTAATAGTAGTAGTAGTAGTAACAGTAGTAGTCGTAGTAGTAGTAGTAGTCGTAGTAGTAGTGGTAGTGGTAGTGGTAGTGGTAGTGGTAGTGGTAGTAGTAGTAGTAGTAGTAGTAGTAATAGTAGTAGTAGTAGTAGCAGTTGTAGTAGTAGCCGCCGCCGTACTCGTACTGGTAGTAGTAGTAGTAGTCGTAATAATCGTAGTAGTAGTAGTAGTAGTAGTAGTAGTAGTGGTAATAGTAGTAGTATAGTAGTAGTAGCAGTAGTAGAATAGTAGTAATAATAGTAGTTGTAGTAGCAGTAGTAGTAGTAGTAGTAGTAGTAGTAGTAGTAGTAGTAGTATGCGGAGTAGTAGCAGTAGTACGAGTAGTAGCAGTAGTAGTAGTGGTGGTGGTAGTAATAGTTGTAGTAGTGGTAGTAGTAATAGTAGTCGTGGTAGTGGTGGTGGTAATGGTAGTGGTAGTGGTAGTGGTAGTAGTAGTAGCAGTAGTAGTAGTAGTAGTCGTAATACTCGTAGTAGTAGTAGTAGTAATAATCGTAGTAGTAGTAGTAGAAGCAGTAGTAGTACTAGCACTAGTAGTACTAGTAGTAGTAGTAGTAGTCGTAGTCGTAATAGTAGTAGTAGTAGTAGTAGTAGTAATAGGTAGTAGTAGTAGTAGTAGTAGGTAGTAGTAAGTAGTAGTAGTAGTAGTAGTAGTAGTAGTAGTAGTAGTAGTAGTAGTAGTAGTAGTTGTAGTACCAGTAGTAGTAGTAGTAGTAGTAGTAGTAGTAGTAGTAGTAGAGGTACCAGTAGCAATAATATTGGTAGTAGTAGCAGTAATACTACTAGTAGTAGTGGTAGTAGTAGTAGTAATAATAGTAGTAGTAGTAGTAGTGGTGGTGGTGGTGGTAGTAGTAGTAGTAGTAGTAGTATGCGTAGTAGTAGCAGTAATAGGAGTAGTAGTAGTCGTAGTAGCAGTAGTGTAGTAGTAGTAGTAGTAGTAGTAGTAGTGGTGGTGGTGGTGGTAGTAGTAGTTGTAGTAGTGGTAGTAGTAGTCGTGGTCGTGGTCGTGGTAGTGGTAGTGGTAGTGGTAGTAGTAGTAGTAGTAGTAGTAGTAGTAGTAGTAGTAGTAGTAGTAGTAGTAGTAGTAGTAGTAGTCGTAGTAGTAGTAGTAGTAGTAGTAGTAGTAGTAGTAGAAGTAGTAGTAGTAGTAGTAGTAGTCGTAGTAGTAGTAGTAGTAGTAGTAGTAGTAGTAGTAGTAGTAATAGTAGTAGTAGTCGTAGTAGTAGAAGCAGTAGTAGTACTAGTAGTAGAAATAGTAGTCGTCGTAGTTAGTAGTAGTAGTAGTAGTAGTAGTAGTAACAGTAGTAGTAGTAGTAGTAGTAGTAGTAGTAGTAGTAGTAGTAGTGGTAATAATAGTAGTAGTACTAGTAGTAGTAGTAGTAGTAGTAGTAGTAGTAGTAGTAGTAGTAGTAGTAGTAGTAGTAGTAGTAGTAGTAATGGTAGCAGTAATAGTAGTAGTAGTAGTAGTAGTAGTAGTAGTAGTAGTAGTAGTAGTAGTAGTAGAAGAAGTCGTAGTCGTAGTCGTAGTCGTAGTAGTAGTAGTAGTAGTAGTAGTAGTAGTAGTAGTAGTGGTAGTAGTAATAGTAGTAGTAGTAGTAGTAGTAGTAGTAGTAGTAGTAGTAGTAGGAGTAGTAGTAGTAGTAGTAGTAGTAGTAGTAGTACTAATAATTTGCACTACGTTATAATTCTTCGAGAGGAGCTTGAATCAGAAGCTTCCTTTTTCCCTCTCCGAACCGCCAACGCTTTGTGCGGTTTGTATTGCAATCCTTTATCAAGAATTAACTTTTGTCGCCGCCCCATGGGGGTGGTCCATCCCAGGGTATCGCGCCCGCCCCCCACGGAGCGTTCTCTTTGCCACCTGAGAGCGTGGGAGATAATTAATGCCAGCCTTTCGGTGACGCGTTAGAGGTATTTCATAATAGTGACCGTCGTGGATTAATAACGTTGCCAGCAATTCGAGCAACTGCAAGAACCATATACGTTCATAGAAATTCGGATGCTACTTAATGGAAAAAAGGAAAAGTGATAATACTGAAATTAATCAACGTAATAGAAGTAAGAGTCGTACTACTGGTAGCAGCTCCATTAATACAGGCATTCGCTAGAAAAGCCGCAGTACTTAGAAGGGCGCCTGAAACCTATGCTGGCCGAGCTAAGCGTGGGCTGGCGATCGAGTGACCCACGCGCGGGCGAATTTTCCATGCGGACATATACAGAATTCCCCACGCGCGCCCCGCACGCACGCGCGAGCGCGATCGGGTGACCACGCGCGGGCGGGTCACCCGAAATCCGGACTGTCACCGTTAAGGGCTCGCTTCAGTTTCCAGACCAGCATGGTAATCTTTTCGTTGTGGACAATCAAGAATTCTCCATGCGCGCGTCCGCGCGCGCACGCGATCGGCTGAGTCACGCGCGGGCGGGTCACCCGAAATCTGGATGGCCACTGTTAGAATTCACTTCAATTTCCAGACCACCAAGACAACTTTTTCATCGTGGACATACAACATTCACTCCCTACGCGCGCGTCCGCGCTCGCACGCGATCGGCTGACCCACGCGTAGGCGGGTCAACCGGAATCCGGTTGGTCACCGTTAAGGGTTCACTTCAGTTTCCAGACCACCATGACAACTTTTTCACTGTGGACATACACAGTTCCCTACGCGCGCGTCCGCGCGCGCGCGTTCGGGTGACCCACGCGCGGGCGGGTCACCCAAAATCTGGACGGTCACAATTTAGGGTTCACTTGTATAATCCAAAACCCGGATAGCAGGGCGCCCGAAGGGCGTGGAAAGGCCTGGCGAAGCACTCTGGAAGGATCTGGAGAAATCTTCCGAAGGATCTTCTTCCGGGCACACGTAATGGGAAACGCGTAAAAAGAGTCCTTCGGGACCCGCTTCCGGCTCAAGCAAGTTGCGCCGGGGAGCCCTGCCCACCGCTCTGGCTTCTTAATCTGAAATCCTCTTAGCTCTCCAAGGAACTATCCGGGACCTTCAGTTTCCAAGCCGACATGGTACTTTTCCATTGTGTACAACTAAAGAAATAATAATTCCCCACGCGCGCCTCCGCACGCGCGCGCAACCGCGATCGGGTGACCACGCGCTGGCGGTCATTCGAAATCCGGTTGGCCACCGTTAATGGTTCACTTCAGCTTCCAAGCCAGGCCCACATGTCGACTTTTCCATGGTGCGCAAATACAGAATGTCCCACGCGCGCGCCCGCGCGCGCGCGAGAGCAATCGGGTAACCCACCCGCGGGCGGGTCACCCGGAATTTGGTTGATCACCGTCGCGAGTTCACTTTATTTTTCCATGCAAATCTGGAGAATTTCCCAAGGTGGGCGCGACAGAACGCGCCACGCGCGCGTCCGCGCGCGCGCGATCGGGTGACCCAGGCGCGGGCGGGTCCCCCAAAATCTGGCTGGTCACCGTTAAGGGTCCACTTCAGTTTCCATGCAGACATGGCGACTTTTCTAGTGTGGACGAGAATTCTCCAGGCGCGCGCCCGCGCTGGCGTGCGAGCGCGATCGGGTGACCCACGCGCGGGCGGGTCACCCGAAATCTGGTTAGTCACTGTTAGGGTTCCACTTCAATTACCTAAACAACATGTCGACTTTTCCATGGTGGACACTGCAGAACTCGCCGCGCGCGCGTCCGCGTGCGCGCGATCGAGTGACCCACGTGTGGGCGGGTCATCCGGAATTTGATTGGTCACCGTTACGGGGACACTTCAGTTTCCACGCCAACCTGGCGACATTTCCATGGTGGACAAATACAGAATTCCCATAGGGCGCGTAAGGGATTATAGGGCTCATGCGGCTCATAAGGGTCATAGGGCTCAGAAGGCTCGTGGGGCTCATAGGGCTCATACGAGCTCATAGAGCTTGTAGGGCTTATCAGGCACATGGGACTCATCGAGCTCATAGGGGACACATGGCTTAGGCGAGAACCGCATTTTGAAAATGAACCACCCTCCATCCGCGTAACTCTTGCAAGCTTTTGAAACGAATGTGCGCGGCGCTAAAACAAGAACCACATTTTGAAAACGAGCCGCCCTCATCCGTGAAGCTCGAAAGTCCTGCAACGTTTTCAACAAGAAATTGCGCGGCGCTGACGCGAGAGCAACATTTTGAAATTGAGCCGCCCTCCATCCATGAAGCTCTTGCAAATTTTGTAATCGAATGCGCGCGGCGCTGAAGCGAGAACAACATTTTGAAAACGCGCCGTCATCCCTCCGTGAAGGTCTTGCAACAAATCGAAATGTGCGCGAAACTGAAGCGAGAACAACATTTTGAAAACGAACTGCCCTCAATCCGTGAAGCTCTTGCCACATGTTTATAACGAATGTGCACGGCAATACAACGATAACAACATTTTGATAACGAGCCGCTGTCCATCCGTGAAGCTCTTGCGACATGTTTACGAATAACGTGCGCGGCAATAAAGCGAAAACAACAATTTGAAAACAAGCCGCCCTCCATCCGTGAAGCTCTTGCGACTTTTGAAATCGAATGTGTGCGGCTCTGAAGCGAGAACCACATTTTGTAAGCGAGCCACCCTCAATCCGTGAAGCTGTTGCACATGGTTGAATCGAATGTGCGCGGCGCTAAGGCGAGAACAACGAGCCGCCCTCCATCCGTGAACCTATTGCAAATGTTTGAAACGAATGCGCGTGGCGCCAAGGCGATAACCACACCATCCTTCCGGTGCGGGGATCATTCTTCCCAGCGCGGAAGTGTTATCTTCAAGCTGGACGGGGAGGGGGGGAAGGGTTTCTCAAATACTTCTTCGGGTTGTGTTAGAAGAAAACGACACGGCAACGAGGCTGCAACTGCAAATGGCAGCAAAGGTCGTCAATCGTCGCGCAGACCCTGAACTCCACGCGGTAGTGGAACGGACCCCTTCCCTCTCGCTGATGCGCCGAAACTACTTGCCCGACGTGGCACAACGTTGAAGATGGGCCATGAGCCATTGCCAACTTTCAGAAAATGCCTGGTCAGTCCTCTGAGCTACAATTCAGATCAAGAAGATGCCGCCAAGAACGACAAGACGACGGCCCCTGAGTCCACACAGAAACCTCTATGTATCAATGTCCCCTCAAGGTCCTGTCGCAATCCGCGAGTTCCTCCAGTCCCTCCACCCCGCTGGGGCCCAAATAAGAGGACTGGCTGTTCCCCATCGGCTCGCACGAAGGGAGGTACTGTAATTTCGCTGCTCCTCACCATGGTCAGGAGATCCGCTCAGGAGCGCCCCCCCTGAATTCTTCTGGGCGGCGCCCAGACTGGCTTTCTCGAGCGGCATCCTGGCACCATGACGGCGCCTAAATGAAGGCCTACAACAGAAAGTACACCAGCGAGCTTCCAGTGAACACACGTACGCACCCTTGCCGTTTGTTTTTGGTTGAGTGGGCAGAGATCGGGCCAGAGAAGGCGAATTGGCGCGACTCTGGTGCCCCGAACAGTTTTCTGGACGAGGCGCAGCTGGGGCATGCCCTGGGGCGTGAAAGCTCCTGGCCCCAAAGTGCAGCGGCAAGACCTCCGCACACGAAGGACACGCGACACAAGCGTAATCTTTCGGAGGCTCGCGCAGGTCCCTTGGACAGGCGCTGGACCTCCTCCCTGGCGCGCTGAGCGAGCCAGGGAGGGGGGCCCAGCGCCGACCCAAGAGATCCCCGTGGACGCGTTTTCTAAGCTTTGAGAGACCAAGTGATCCCCGTGGACACGATCTTCGGAGACCGAGTGCAGTCATCGCGCTGGCATCCGACAGCCACTGCACACCATGCCGAACAAGGAGCGAGGGGGGGCTGCTCTCGGCACGGCGAGCCTCGGCCACGAACGGGGCCCCCGATGCAGATCTAGAGAACGGCCCAGAAACCGGGTCCCACTCTGAGCCCAAGGTGGTCCTGATCTCAACGTCTCGACTGCAATACGCGATCAGCATCTTATCCGCATCCCTGCTCACGCCCCGACCCCCACGAGGGGCCAGAGCGGGGACATGGAATACAATCTGGCCCCTGTCCAGGAAGCCAAGTTTTTTATCCATGCCCTGCACCGTTAGCGTCAAGAGTTGGAGGCAACAGCAGGGCATAGAACGTTGATCGCCGATGCAAGGCCTTTGCCCGCGCCTTTGGCGTCCAAGGGCCTGCATCCAAGCGGGGCCATGACACAACGAAGCTGCCGCTTAACCTCGCGGCCGTGCCCGCAGTCGGCGCGGTCCCAGCACTGGGGGAGGGCGGGGGGAGGGCAGGCTTTCTGCACACATCCACTGCGTCTCGGATTTTCAGAGTCCCTCCCCTAGAAACCCGAGACGCAGTGGATGTGTTATAACATGTGGCCTCTACGTATCGAGGTCAGATGTGTGTCCCTATCCACTGCGTCTCTGGTTTCCGGCGTCCCTTTCCCAAAACTCCAAGACGCCGTGGATATGTAGGAACATATCTGATTGCAAGCACGGCAAAGGAACTGTCCATGAGAGAATCCCCCTGGTCTGGGTTGTACGGGTCTCGAGCTCATGGAACAAAGGCATCTACGGCGAAAGCGCAACCAGAAACCGACGGGACCGACTGCGAAAGTGAAAACGAACGGGCGGAAGCCGAATCTGCGAAAACATCGGAGGAGAACGCAACGACGCAGCAAGGACTCCGCAGCGGAGCGGACCAAGCCGACCGAATGTAACCGACTGGGCCCGTGCCCTGCTCTGGACACGGCGCGGTCGTCTGCCAGGCAGGAAGACCTGGAACCTCGCAGGAACGCACACGTTCGGAAGTCCGCGCGGATCTCTTGAGTCGGAGCTCGATCCCGCCTCCCTGGCGCGCTGAGCGCGGCAGGGGGGGCGCCGGAGGCGCCGCCAGGGGGGTCCAGCGCCGACGCGAGAAATCCGCAGAGGCCTTAGAACATGTATAGTTATGCTGTTGTGGGCTCTTCGATCGCGGCTGGCGTGATGCCTCTCGGGCTGCTCGCGGGGCAACTCGAGCGCCCCCGCACTGGCCACAAGCAAGAAGAGTGGCCCGCGTAGGCCCTCGTAGGCCCGCGCCACGAGAGCCGCGCACCAGCCGACCACAAAAGAATCGGAGCTGGAATGCGACCCCTCTCAAGCACGGCCCTCGCCCCGCGACCCGACTAAACGGCCTGCGCTGGCGCTGGGATTCCAGCCAGCGTGATCAGGGCGCGGGCGCCTCTCTCCTCCTCTGCTCGATTGCTGCCAGTCCCTGCTGCTTGAACACATGCTTGAGGTCCCTAATCTGGGACACTCACAGACAAACAAGCTCGTCCAAACCAGCTGCCGAGCGGAGGCGCTGCCGTGCTCTGGGCGCGGCCTCGGAGACCAAGCGCTCCCCTGAGTTCGAATAGACCTCTGGCGATACGCAGCCTCCAGCTGAGCACGAAACGCTCGCTCGACGTGTGGCAGCTCTGATGCCAAACGTCCCAGGAAAGTCACCAGAACTGATGCTGCAGGCTTCGACCTTCTCGGGACTCCTGCCGGTGCTGGACTGGAGCTCCGCCCATTCCCATCCCGATGTTGTTGTTGACGGCCTTCAAGCACCACTGCTTCTCCTCGGGGAAGCCGACCCCGAGCGCGCCCCGGACAAATCGCACACGTCGGCCACAGTGGGATGGGGTGGGCGGGGATTGGCGCGCCCGACATGGCCTCTTCTGTAAACCCTGACTCCCAAAGTCTTGACGTCTTGTGCTTCCGCCGCACCTTCGCTCGACAGTTCACGACACTGGCGCTTCCAAAGAATAAGGGGTTACAATGACTCGCCGTAGGCGCCTTCGATGGATACTCATATTCCTTGGTAATCGATCAAAGCCTGGTCTCGGAGGACCGGGCGGCGGTTGTGTAAGGATACTTCGCGTGACCGCAGCCGGGAGGGCGCAATCTTAAGGATGGTTGTATGACCTTGTTGACATGGCTATGGCTATTCAGTGTTCAGCATGCTGCCAAGAACAATCACCAAACAATGTCTGAACTATTCATACGATGTGCCAACCACGACAAGTTACTGGTAAGCTGTCGTTGATACGAAAAGAAACATCTTTGTCTCGACATTGTTGGTTTGTTTTCCGTTCCACTCAAATTCTAACCATCCCTCGGCCCGCCATGGCCACAACCGCTATCACTTGAACGATCATGGCCTTCATCGTATCGACAACATCTGTCGTCGGCATCGCTATTGAAAACGTTCTGGTCACCAACACCGTCATGGCCGTGCAATCGCCGTCCCAGCACCACCGCCACCATAACATTCATTATCAGTGTTGACGGAGGGAGCCATGATATGAAGGCGCCTCCCGTGGAGACCGAAGCAGGGAAGCGGGGGGCATTTTTTAGTGGGGCGTTCAGTACAGACTATGGTGTACGTGCAACAATTCAGTGCCGTTTTCAATACATGCTCCGCGTGCGGATCATGTATAAAAAATGCAAGGATTTAGCATTAAACTCAACGATGAGTTCATGCATACATTTATTCATACATCAATCATGTATAAAACATCCCATGTTTAAAAGTCTATGTATTAAAGACTGCCCTAACTACTGGTACATGAACGCCAGGGACACATTTCCCATTCACACTGTGTATACTCATTCTGCTGTATGAATACAGCGGGGATGGCCCCCACCCGTGGGCGTACCACGGGCACGGTGCACCTCGGACGCCGAAGGTGGTACCTCTTGGACACCGCACGTGGCATACCGAGCCGCCAAGCCTGGAACTCCCCTACCTCTACATGGCAAGTTTTAACACATTTGATTTTTTAAATATAGGGTTTTAATACATGATGGATTTATGCATAAATTCATGCATGCATGAACTCATCGTTGTTCTTAATACTAAATCCCTGCATTTGTAATACATGATCCGCACGCGGAGCATGTACTAAAGACGGCACTGTATAGAGGCCACCTAGATGGGGTCCGAGTAGATGGGTCGGATGATCGCGCCGCATCGCTGATGCATCGGCGATGCATCGGCGATGCATCGCCGATGCACCGGCAGCGTCAAGGATGCATCGGCGACGTCGGCGTGGAGAAAATCGGACTCCGCATCGCCGATGCGGCGCGATCCTCCGACCGCATCTGCTCCGACCCCATCTAGGAGGCCTGGACTCCACGACTCCCCACGGATGGGATTCCAACCGGGCTGGTGGCGGTCAGCCAGACGCCCGCGCTGCGCGTGGGGGTCCCCGAAATTGGCTCAGGAAGGCCCCGAGAGAATCCTGAGGCAGCAAGCGTCGGCCCGACGACGGCCTCGCGGGCCCAAATCGGAGACAGCAGCGTGGAATGGGGATTCCTCGCTGCAATGCCCCGGCGGAGAACCGCGGGCAACGCGTCCTCCTCCTCCTCCTCCTCCTCCTCCTCCTCCTCCTCCTCCCCTTCCTCCTCCTCCTCCCCTTCCTCCTCCTCCCCTTCCTCCTCCTTCAGGCCCTCAATCTTCCTGTGCCATTGGGTTTCCTCCTCCACCGGCACCTGCTCCTGCAACCCCCTGAAGCACGACCACCCCTGCATCCCCCTCCTTCTCGTCGTCGTCGTCCTCCTCCTGGCCGTGCTGCCCATCCTCCTCCAGCTCCCTCTCTTCCTCCTCTTCCTCTTCCTCCTCCTCCTCCTCCTCCTCCTCCTGTGCTCTCGCACCACCTGCTCCTCGGGAGGTTGCGCCCGCGGGCGGGTTGAAATGAGTCGCCTGGTTGCGGTTGTGGTTGCGCCCGCGGGCGGGTTGAAATGTGTCGCCTGGTTGTGGTTGCGTTTGCGCCCGCGGACGCGTTGAAACGTGTCGCCCAGTTGCGATTGCGGTTGCGGTGGCGCCCGCGGGCGGGTTGAAACATGTCGCCCAGTTGCGATTGCCGTTGCGGTGGCGCCCGCGGGCGGGTTGAAACGTGTCGCCTGGTTGCGGTTGCGGTTGCGGTGGCGCCCGCGGGCGGGTTGAAATGTGTCGCCTGGTTGCGGTTGCGGTTGCGGTGGCGCCCGCGGGCGGGTTGAAATGTGTTGCCTGTTTGCTGTTGAGGTTGCGGTTGCGCCTGCGGGCTGGTTGACATGTGTCGCCTGGTTGCGGTTGAGGTTGCAGTGGCGCCCGCGGACGCGTTGACATGTGTCGCCTGGTTGCGGTTGCAGATGCGGTTGCACTTGCGCCCGTTGGCGGGTTGGAATGTGTCGCCTGGTTGCGGTTGCGGTCCGCAACTTGCACCCCGGCGTGTTGAAATGCGTTGTCTCGAGTGCCTCTCCAGTGAATTCAGTTCAGTGCAATTCAGCTCAGCCGGTCTGTCAGCGGGGAGCACGGGGCTTCACCCGACTCCATCAGGAAAAATGCCCCACAGGATTTCCAAGAAGGCCCGACAAAAACCCAACCATACGTTTTCCGTCAATGTTCTGAAACAACGTTTGGGCTCCCGCCTTTGGCGGCCACGAACGGCTCCAGGCGGCACCAGAATCTTCCGAGACCGCCAAGACTGCCCAGGGTGCTCCGATCAACCCCCAAGACGGCCAAGGAGAACCCAACAAGAGCTCAAGAGCGCCCTTCGACGGCCCAAGAAGGCCCAGCAGGCCCCCAAGAAAGCTCCAGCAGCAGGCGAGCAGGACCCCAAGAGGGTCCAAGATCGCCCGACGAGGGCCCCAAGATGGTACAAAACCTCCAGTATGGCAGCAAGACGGCCCAAGGGAACCCCGCCCAAAACAACCCAACACGGCCCCGACAAGAACCACGACGTCGACGACAACCAAGAAGGACCGACGACGAGGACCGCCCGACCCACCGACCGACCGACCGACCAACCCACCAAATCGCCGACCAACCGGCGACAACGACCGACCTGCCGACCGACCGCCCTGCCGACCGACGACGACCGCCGTGCCGAACGACTGTGACGCCAACCGACCGACGACAGACGACGACGACAGACCGAGAGGCCGCCCGTCCGACCGACCGACCGACCGCGACTGACCGAGGCAAACGTCTGGAAGGCGCTGGCCTGGCAGAGCTTCAGAGCCCTTCTTCTCCAGCGGGCGGGCGGGCGCGCGGCTTCCCCCAATCCTCCCCCGCCTCCCCTAATCTTGGGTCGGGCATGACCCCCGACAGGCAGATTTTGGAGGAAAATCGAAATAGTCAAAAAATACACCAAAATGAGAAAACAAAAACAATGATTTTAAGAAATCGTCACCAGGCTAATTTTTTACTATTCTTGAATACTCCTCCTGTAGAAGGACGTGCCCGACTTAACCCTAATCCCTATCGGAGCTATCATGTAAGAGCGCTGGCCCGGGCGGATTGCGTTAGTCGCGCTCCAGGCCTTTGGGGGGGAAGGAACCCTGGGACTGCGGATTGCGAATTCAGGCGCGCATTGCCGCTGATTATCTGCGCACTGCCTCGTGGATTGCTTTCCTGGGGGCCATTTTCGGGGGGAGCGAAAGGGGAGGATAGCACACAGTAGGATAGAGAATCAGCTCACGTAGCTGATTTTCCCAGCGCCTCCCGGCGCCGGGAGGCGCCCATGTACCGAGGAATGGGCCCGGCGGCGGGGCCGAAACCAGTTGCATGCAGCAGATTTCGTACCCCCCCTTTCCCTATCCTCCCTTTCGTTCGGCCCGATGATCTATGCGGCTGGTCGATGGCAACCATCGCCGCGGCAAGGATAAAACAAGCCGCTTTGCAACGATACGCGCAGGACAAAGCGAACGATGATTCAGGCAGGAGAGACGGATTCTGCTTTGTTTTTCATCGTGTCTGCACAACCGTCGGTCCTCATCACCATTTATGTGTTGATGTTCCGCCCGACCGACCGACGGCATCGACAACAACCAAGAAAGACCGATGATCGACGACAAGGACCTACCGACCAAACGACCGATTGACGAACAGACTCGCCGGCCGGCCGATAACAGCCGACCGACCAATCAACTGACCCACGACGACGACGACGACCGACGGCGACGACCGCCCGACCACCCAACCGACCGATCAACCGACCCACGACGACGACGACCGACCGCCTAGCCGACGACGACGACCGACGATGACGACGACGACCGCCCGACCGACCGACGGACGACGACGACGACCGACCGACCGACCAGCCGACCCCGATATCGTCTGGGGAGGTCCTTCTAGTGTCTGGGGCACGTCTCTTCTCTGTAGAGGCTCGAGAAAGGCCTGCCGTAGGTCAGGTCTATAGGCCTTCTTAGGCCCGCTGTACCTTTACCCCCGGCCTTCGTAGGCCTACCGAGGGTCTATCTTGGGCCTTCCTGCGCCTTCCCTATGGCTACCCCGCTCCAGCCGTAGCCCTTCTGACGTCTATCCCACGCTTCTCTGGGTCCACCATGGGCCTTCCGAGGCTTACATGACGTATACTGTCTACTTTAAGCCTCCTTAGGCCGACCTTAAGTCTACCTTGCACCCAAGCTCACCCCAAGCCTACCTAGCCCTACATAGGCCTACCTAGCCCTACCCCCAAAGCCTCTGAAGGGAGCGGCCTAGGGTTTCACTCGCACCATGACTTTTGGGAGACGTCTCCCGACATCTGAGGGGGGCTTGAAAGTGTATGACATATTTCTGGGCTGCTAGGAGGGTTCGTGGAGTGTCAGCAGCACGTTTCCACTGTCACTCGGACGGCCCAATGTGACTCCTATCTGCTGGAGCCAGCCTCGGCCCCTCTGCGAACGCCCTTCGGCGCAGGTGTTCAAGTCAGCGGGCCAAGATGTCCCGGCGCGCGGAGCGCGCTCCTCAACTCCTGTGCACACTAAGTAGAAGTCTGTTAGCCATGATTTCTTGCAGCCTATGCAATCCAGTCTAGGGGGTCAATCAATGTAGAGCAATCTGGGTGGTCCAATCCAAGTGGTGCAATCTATGTGGCGCAGAGACATGCACAGCAACGAAAAGCAATGCAACGCAACGCAATGCAACACAATGCAGCGCAACGCAATGTGACGCAATGCAAGGAGATGCGCAGCAATGCGCAGCAATGCACAGCAATGCAAAGCAATGCGCAACAATACAACGCAATTCACAATAGCGCGCAGCAATGCAAAGCAGCGCAATGTGATTGCAATGCAATGCACTGCAATACGATTGCAAAGCAATGCGATTGCAAAGCAACGGGGAAGGATGCAACGGGGCGGCGGCGACGGGCGGGAAAGGGCCGCTGGGCCCACAAACGGCCCTTTCATTTGAAAACATGGGGCGGCGACGGACGGGAACGAAGCCGCTGGGGCCGCACCAGGGCCCAGTTCCTTAAAGACAAGCGCTGTTTGGGGAATAGTGCGTTTGCGAGCCAGCGTGGACCTCCACAAGTAACTCCTTGCAGCATATGCGGTGCAATCTATGTGGTACAAACTATGTGGTGCAATCTCGGTGTTCAAATTCATGTGATACAACTTGTGGTGCAAAGCAGTGCAAAACAATGTAAAGCAACGCGCCGCAATATAACGTATTACAAAACAGTGCAAAGTAATGCAAAGCACCGATGGTCAATGCAAAGTAATGCAAAACCATGCAATCCACTGCAGAGCAACGCAATGCAATGCAATGCGATGCAAAGTGTCGCAAAGCGTCGCAACGCAGTGCAAAGCACCGGAAAGCAACGCAAAGCAAAACCGTGCACAGCTACGCACAGCAACGCAAAGCAAAGCCAAGCGACGCAGTACTATTGCAATTCAGTGCCATGCGATCTCAATTCAATGCGATTGCACAGCAGTGAAAACAGCGAATGGCACTGCAGCCTGCAGTGCCATGCGCTGTTTTCGCTGCTGTGCAGTCTACAGAACCTACAGAACCGACGATTACGTTTCCTTGAACTGCGGGAAGTTGGCGCCCCGACGCCCCTCCTCTAGAGTTATGTCGGGCCTGTCCCCCCACAAGGGGGATTTTCGACGAAAAATAAAAATACCCCCAAAATAATCCAAACATGCTCCAAAAATAGCCTGGGGACTATTTTGTGGGTATTTTTTGACCTTCTTGGAGCATTCTGGGGGTATCTTTATTGTTTCGTCGAAGCTCCCCCTTGTAGGGGGACACGCCCGACATAGCTCTGGAGGAGAGCCGATTGTGCCCCCGCGGCGATTCCAAACCGCAGTGCGACCGCAGTGCCACGCGGTGAGCCTGCAGCGCCATGCGCCTGCAGGGCAGCGAGGAGGAGGGGTGCCGCGGGGCGGCGGCGACTGGGCGGGCGCGGGGCCGCCGGGCCCGCACCCGTGCCCTCCACGAAGGGGCCCCGGGGCACACGAGTAAGTAGACACAGGAAATGCGGGATGACGATTCATAAAAAAAATGGGGGGGAACGATTCAAAAAATAGTTTCCTGCTATTTCTGCACAATTTTCTGACTGGAGGAGAACGGTTTAAAACATAGTTCTCCAGCCCGCGGCCGGTTTTTTCTAATCGTCATCTCGGGCGCCGCCGCGTGAACACGACCCCCGGTCATTTATTAATCGTCATCCTCCATTAACAGGATTCCCCGTCTTTGCCAATATTTTTGGTGTTTCTGTCTTCCCCACACGTCCCGTACTTTTGTCCAGTGTTCTAGGGGGGTCGACGATGAATTGTGTGTCTGTGTGTGTGTCTTTCCCTCCTGACTGTAGTAAAGCACCCTTTGATGACAACGGCCTCGGGCCGAAACCGACGGACCTGGACCCGCAAGAACGACGGCCGCGACGCCCTCTCGGGAACCGAAAACGGCCCATTCACTAATCGGCGTGTCAGGGTAGGTCTATCAGCCTCCGATGTATTGAGAAAATGGTACGGCAACAGACTGGAACGAGGCCGCCGGGGCCGCACCCGGGCCCAGTTCCGCAAAAGAAATGTAAGCACCCCTAGGCACAGGCCTTATTCGGGGAATATGCATCTACTCGACTTTGTTCGGTGTGCCCCGCGTGCCCCAGAGGCCCCCTCAGATGTAGCCGCTACCGCCCCGGACCCTCCCGGGACCGCTCCAGGCCCCCCCCCAGAGGAGAAGGAAGAGGATTGGAAGAATCGAGGAAGGAGGAGGCCACAGAGCCGCGAAGATCACCGAATCCGGAGCTCCCCGGATCGGCAGCACTGGCCGGAGGCCATTGCAATATGCATATACTCGACTTTGTTCGGTGTGCCCCGCGTGCCCCAAAGGCCATCGGTGGATCATGAGCCTCCGTAGGGAACCTGCTGGCAGGCGGATCTCTTCTTTGATGCGGCAACTGTGCGCTGAAGATGCGTGCTGGCTGGTGCGACGGCGACGGCGACGGCGACGACGACGACGACGACGACGACGACGACGACGACGACGACGACTACTCGAACGACGACGGCGACGACGACCTTAGCGGCCGCCGAGCGTGCCCCGCGCCGCAGAAGCGCAGCGATACTCTTGGCCCCACTTCGCTCGACGTGCGAGGCCGGGGGGGGGGGTCGCGTGCGCGCACGCGCGCTCCTTGCCGTTGGCAGCCGTGCCTCCAGCATCTCCAGCGCCAACACCTTTCCAGAGGGGGAGCTTCCCTGGCTGCCGGTGCTGCCGCCCATGTCGGGCGGATGTCGCAGGGGGGGTCGCTCCAGGGCTGCAGGAAACTGGCCCTGAAGGCGCGCCCGACAGGGCCCCTCCGTTGCCATCGCGAGCCCAACAGGTGCTGGAGAGGTGCGCGATGCTTCGCTTCGTTTCCCTCCCGTGGCCATCCTCCCGACATCGCCTCGGCCACGCCCTGCATTCCCATTATCTCTTCGGGGAAAACAAACACACACACACACACACAGTGTGTTTTTTTTGTTAACACGCAATGTGTGTATGTGTTTTTTTCCACCGTGTGTGTTTTTTGTTTGTGTGTATGTTTTGTGTGTGTGTGTGTGTGTGTTTTTGTGTGTGTGTGTGTGTTTTGTGTGTGTGTGTGTGTGTGTGTTTTCCTCCCTCTGCTCCTGCGGCTGCCTGCTGCGGAGCGGCTCCTCGTCCTCCTCGGGCTCCTCTGGCATTATCCAACCCTTCGTCCTCGCCCCTGGTCCTTGCTGTGCTGGCTGTCCTCCTCCTCCTCCTCCTCCTCCTCCTCCTCCTCCTCCTCCTCTGGCTGCGGATTTTCGGTGCTGCCGTGTTCAGGCCAGCGTAGAGCTCCCTCATGGTCGCCCTCCTCCTCTCCTCGTTACCGACAGTGCTCGCACGCCGCGAGCCTGTCTGGCACAGCCTGGACTTTAAAGGTGACCCCCTCCTCCTTGGCCTGCCCCCCGCCGCTCATCTGCCTCCTCTTCGCTGCTGCCGAGGCCTCGCTCATGCGTGGCGCCTGCGGGACGTGAGCCGCACTCTCCCATGACCGCCTCCGCGCGGCAGGATGCGTTGCCAAAGCGGGCGAAGAAGGATGAGGAGGGAAGGAGGGAACGGGAATGAAGCTGGGACGAGAAGTAGGTGGAGAGGGAGAAGAAGAGAGAAGGATCAGGAAAGTAGGCAGCAGGACGAGAAGGAGCATCAGCAGGAGGGAAGGATGCAGAGCGGGAGAGCAAACCTACGCCTATAGGAGGCCTGAGTGAGCAATTGCTCCTGAGGGTTGCAATGTATTACTGTTATTCGGTGCATCCGTCATGTCATCGAAAGTTGAACTGCGTATGGGGGCGCTCGAGGATAGAGAGGGAAAAGCACATGCACGTTCAATGGGTTGTCACGTCGATGCCGATTAGCCATACTGTCACGCATCCACACCCAGGACGAAACGGAACTGAACATCCACCCGAGCAAGGAAGTTCACTGAAAAACGCCTTGGTCTCCTCCGTCTTAGACAGGCTCCTCATCCTCTGGTGTTCGCAGTCTCGTTCCGACTCTCCCTCCTGCTCCTCCTACCTCACTGTTACAAAGAGAGCTTCCCATGAAGTGCTCGGACATTTTTCGGGGGCGCGCAAACATGGATTAACGATCCATGGATTTGGCGCGCGGTCGCCAAATCCATGGATCGGGGGAAGTGCCCTCCCCATAATGCGGCCGGTGCCGCCTCGTTCGGCGGCGGAAATCCGCGACTATCCATGGAAACGGGACCCGTCGCTAATCCACCCCCCTTAATCCATGTTTGCGATCGCCGGAATGTGGCTTCCTTCTCATGATCCTTCTCTCCTTCGCGCTGTAGTTGCTCCTGCTCCCGCCTCATCGTGCCTGCCGCCGCCCCCCCATCCCTCCATTGGCGTCCTCCTCCTCGCTGCCCTGGTCGTCGCGATCCGCATCCTCCCCATAGTCCTCCTCCTGTTCCTCTCTCTCCTCGTTCTCTTTCTCATAATTCTGTCACGTCGTTGTGGTGGGAGTGTCCCAGCGGAGGCCATAATGGCTTGAAAACCGAACTGGGTTCAACAGTCAAGTGCCGTTATTGGAGTTTCCTTGTAGTGCGACATGGGGATTCTCTTGTGGAAAGCTTGCGTCCACCTTGGGTCTTTGGGGGTCTCTGGGTCTCTCACGGCGCAGTGTCTGTCTTTGGCCATTTGGAGCCTGAAGTGCGTGTAAATCAGAGAGAGAGAGAGAGAGAGAAAGAGAGAGAGAGAGAGAGAAAGAGAAAAAAGAGAGAGAGAGAGAGAGAGAACGAGGGCGATAGCTAGATTGACACGTTGAGAGCGGAACGAACCATCGAGAGGGAGCGCAGTCATTCAAGCCAAGGGGTGATAGGTGGAGGACGCCCATGTAACGAGACTCGTGAGCTCGCGCCCCGCGATAGCCGATGGATCGATCCTGTCAATCAGCGGGCCCCAGACGTGTCGACCCCTTTCCCACGGGGCCATTTTTCGACGGTGGACAAACCTCCCTTTAGCAAACCACCCCTTGTGCAGACGGCCTGGGACCGAAACCGACGGACCTGGACCCGCAAGAACGACGGCCGCGACGCCCTTTTGCGAACCGAAAACGGCCCATTCGCTAATCGACGTGTCAGGGTAGGGAGGTCTATCCACCTCCGATTCCCGATTGTGAGCGGAGTTAGCTTCATCCCCCCTCCTGACCGTTTTCGTGCGGTTCCAACCAATGCGGACCCCCCAGCCGCCTCCGGCGACAAAGTAATGATAAGCGATGGCATGGGAACAAGAGAGAGAGAGAGAGAGAGAAAGAAAAAACACATTTGGCGAAAGAGAGAGAGAGAGAGAGAAAGAGAGAGAGAGAGAGAATTTGGCGAGATAGGGAAAGTTTGGCGAGAGAGAGAGAGAGAGAAACAAACAAATCGGCGAGACGTGTCAGGGTAGGAGGTCGACGCGTCGGCCTATCCACCTCCGATTCCCCGCGGGGCCATCTTCCGCCCCGGATCCACGTCGAGTGGCCACGGGGCTCGCACGCGGCTCCCAAAGGCTGGGAGAGACCACTGCTTGGAGCACGGACGCAGGCAGAGGCCGGGCCGGGCGAGCGCAAGCGGGCTCCGCGAGTGCAAACGGGGGCCCCGCGCAAGAGAAGGCCAGAATCGAGTCGAGTCGCCCGCGCCAGGATGCGCATCGGCACCATTCAAGCATCTCGGGCCGTGCCAGATCGTCGGAATATCGGAGTCGAATCGGATCGAGAGGGTCGACGTCGATAACAAAGGCAGACAGTCTATATAAACATCACCTTTTGAAGGTCCGAGCGGATTCCTTGGATCTGCGTTGGACCCCCCTTCCCTGGCTCCAAGTTCCCGGGTTCCCAACTCCTGGTTCCGGGCCGATTTCCGTTGGTTCCGGGCTCCCGGGTCCCCGGTCGATCTCCTTATCGATCATTCCATCCACTGATTTGCGTCTTTCTCTGGTGTAATTCTTCCTCGGGATACCGAGCAAAATCGGTCGGATGGTGATGGGCCCCGCTGCGCGGTTTCCCCCAGGGCCGTAGTCGACCCGAGAAGGAGGGGGAGGAGGAGGAGGAGGAGAGGAGGAGGAGGAGAGGAGGAGGAGGAGGAGGAGGAGGAGGAGGGGAGGAGGAGAGGAGGAGGAGGTGGAGGAGGAGGAGGAGGAGGAGGAGGAGGAGGGGGAGGGGGAGGGGGATAAGGACATGGAGGAGGAGAAGGACATGGCGGAGGAGGAGGAGGAGGAGGAGGAGGAGAGGAGGAGGAGAAGAGATGGAGGAGGAGGAGGAGGAGGAGGAGGAAGAGGAGGAGGGGGAGATGGAGGAGGAGGAGGAGGAGGAGATGGAGGAGGAGGAGGAGATGGAGGAGATGGAGGAGATGGAGGAGGAGGAGGAGGAGGAGGAGGAGAAGGAGGAGGAGGAGCAATGGAGCAATGGCCGAGGGCGCAGAAGGGAATCCCGACTAGGCCTCGGAGACAAGGAAAGGAGGCACGATCACGCGCCTGCAGTGCGTGCCGCAGCTAGTCCGAGTCCCCTGACTCGGGATGCTGCAGCGGGACGGCGGTCCTCGAAGCCGCCGCTGAGGACGAGGAGGGGGCCGCGGGCGCTGGCCCGCACGGTGCCGGGGCGTCGGCCCGCAGCACTGGGCCCTCACCCTCCTCATCCCCAACTCCTCCAACACCCCCGACGACCCCGTCCGCCTCCCCCACTCCGACAGCAGTAAGAGACTGAGCGGCGGCCTCGGGAGCAAGCGGGGCCAGCAGCAGCGGGCCGAGCGCCTCTCCCGTCTTGGGGTGGCGCCCTCGCAGGGCCTGCTGCAACATCCTCTGGACTCTCTCACCCTCCCGCGTCCCACACACCCCAGCCCCGCCCCTCTCTCTCCGTGGCAGGCAGGCACGGGTGAGGCCGATCGAGAGACGGTTGGGCCGCACCGCGTGCGCTCCGCAACTGGAGCAGATCAGCACACGGTCTAGTGCCTGGACCTGGTGTCCTGGCCCAACCTGCTGGGGGTCGCACTTGCGAGACGCGAGAGATTTGAGCGAGGAGGGGGTCGAAGCGTGGCGCCAACACTGCCGACAACCGACCGCGCCCTCAGGGAACAAAGAAAACTCGTGAGTGGTGGCCTTCCGCTCTCGGCGCACTCTGGGGGCAGGCGGCAGCGGCCGACGAACGACGGGGGTTGAAAGCTTCGCCACTCGCTCGGCCGCGAAAGCGAGACAACGCATCCGCTGCTTCGCCTGCTCCAGCTCAAACTTGAAACCACGAATAACAGAAGACGACCCCGACAAATCGAGCGCGGCCATCTTCGCAAACAGGTCGGCCCACATGTTCCCGAACAAATTATCGAGAGGCTCCCCCGAGGACATGCACGCCGCAATGCCTTCTTCCACAGGAGGAGGAGGAGGAGGAGGAGGAGGATGAGGAGGAGATGGAGGATAAGGAGGAGGAGGAGGAGGAGGAGGAGGAGGAGGAGGATGGGGAGGAGGAGATGGAGGAGGAGGAGGAGGAGGAGGAGGAGGAGGAGGAGGAGATGGAGGAGAAGAAGGAGGAGGACGGGTCGCCTAAGCCATTCGGAGAAACCCTCCAGGCCCAACCGACCCCCGGGGCGCGCGCAGAGGCAGAGCGAGGCCCCGCCGCCGCAGGCCCGGGCGGGCGCGGGGCGGCGCCTCTCCCAGGCCGCCCGGCCTCGGGGGCTGCTGCCCTCACCGGCGCACCATGAGCGCCTCTGGTCGTCGAGGGGGGGAGGGGATGGCGCCCCATCTGCTACAGGGCAGTTTTTGGTTACATTGGATTATTAACATATAGGATATTTAATACATGATTAATTGATGAATGAACTTATGCATGAACTCATGTAATAAACTTGCATGTTTAATACATGATCCGCACGCGGAGCATGTATAAAAAACGGCACTGTACAGTCGGCCCATATGATAAGGATGCGCGGTAAGGATGCAAGGGCCTTGGACGCCCACTTCTCAGCTCTTCGAGCGGAGCGCGGCCAACGAAAGTGGCCAAGGATGGACCGAGGAGGCAAGGATGTGAGGGTACCCTTGGGAAGGTTGCCCATCCTTACTATGCGGGTTGACTGTAGTGTCAGGTCGGGCGTGTCCCCCTACAGACAGATCTTGGACGAATGATAAAAAATACTCAAACATACGCAAAAATAATAAAACATATTTAGCAAATAATCCCCATCGTATTTTTCGACTACTTCGGAATATTCCTCCTGTAGAGGGACAGGCCCAACTTAATGCTAGTGTGCTAGTTGGGCGTTATTATTATTATTATTATTATGATGATTATTATTATTATTATTAGTATTATTATTAATATTATTATTATTATTATTATTATTATTATTATTCGGCGTTTCGACATTGGGAGGAGAAGCGGGGGGGGTATGGGGGGGGGGAGGCGGAGAGGGGGGGGGAGGGGAGGGGGGGGGGATGGCTCTGGGCCTCTGCTCAAGGCGACTGTGTGCAGCAATGCGTCCCTCACGGGGGAGGCTCCACCTGCTCGAAACAGGCGCCCAGAACAGCCAAGACCTACTCCAGGGAGGGGGGCGGGGGTTGGGGCTCGCGCCGATCGGCAAAACAGTGAATACAAAAACGATCACCTGCTCCTCTGGCCACCGTTCGGACGTCCATTCCCTGTGTTTTTTTTTTTCTGTTTCGTGCGTTGCTTTTTCGCCACATGAGTAAGGATGCTCCTCGATGGTCCTCGCACACGTCCGAGCGATGCCAAGTCCTGCTGCATGCACGGCACTTGTTTCACAGCAAGCGCTCTCGCCCAGCCTCGGGCACGGCTCGAGATGTGGCCCCAGAAAAGTGGGGGCGAGGTGCCCTAGATGTGACTTTTGGAGGCCTGGAAATGGGCACCAACACCAACACAAGGGGGTTCCCCCACAAGGGGAAGATGATCCTAGATTTCGGTGTTGGTGGTAATATTTGGGCCACCTTGGAAGCCAGAGTAGTACCACCATCACCGGGATCGGGATCTTCTTCCCTCGGCGTATGCACACCGACGAAATTGGTGTTGGTGTCAACCTCTAGGCCTGCGAGACTTGTCACGATGTTTCCATTCTTGAACGACGTCGGATCAAAAAACGCCCGCTCTGGAGATCGGTCTCCGCACGCAGCGTTGACCGCGCTCGCCAGCGCCCGCCGCCAGCAGGAAGCGATCCCTTCCCGGAGCCGCCCGCGCCGCGCGCAAGGGCGCGCGCGGGCGAACGGCCCCTGCAACTACGGACGCCGCCGAGCATGGTAGCCCGAGTGAAAGAGGAGGGGGAGGAGGGGAGGCGGGGAGGAGGGGAGGAGGGGGGGAGGGGAGGGGAGGAGGCAAGCTAGGTGCGCTCGCGTCATATCTGACATCCTACCCCTCCCTCCCATCCCTTACCATGGCGCAGATCCTCTCTCTACTCGCACAGTCGGAGGGTACGCGATGCATTGTAGAGCACGGCGTGGCATGGCGTAGAAAAGCACTGCGAAACGCAGTGTCAACCTAGCATTGCATTGCATGCCGTGGCATGGCACGGGAAATCGCGCCAGTGCTGCAGCGGGAGCACGAGTCGAAACGAGCGGAAGCGCGGAAATGAGGCCAACGCTGCCGCGGGAGCACGATTCGGAACGAGCGGAAGCACGCCGGAATCGGCCCAGGAGGCTTCCCGGGCGCCAGAAGCAGAAATTCAGCATTTTCAAAAGAAAAATGTGTATTGGAATGGCCTTTTTTCGGCGCCGCCTCGGAACTCGATTTTCCGGCGCCGGCCCGAACCGGCTCCAGACCCGGCCCGGGCGCTGGCCCGGGCGCCGGCTCGGGCGTCGCCGTCCGGCTCGGGCGCCGGCACGGGCGCCGGCCCGGGCGTCGGAATCGGCCCGGGAGTCCTCCCCGGGCGCCAGAAGCAGAAATTCAGCATTTTCAAAAGAAAAATGTGTATTGGAATTACCTGTTTCGGCGCCGCCTCGGAACTCGATTTTCTGGCGGCGGCCGGAACCGGCTCCGGACCCGGCCCGATCGCCGGCCCAGGCGCCGGCTCGGGCATGCAGCCCGGGCGCCAGCGGAAATGATGCCAGCGCTGCAGCGGGAGCACGATTCGGAACGAGCGGGGCCCGAAAATGAGGCCGGCGCCTCAGCGAGAGCAGCATCTTGGAAAAAAATGCAGGCGAAAACCCAACTCCGGGGAAACCTGTGTGTAAAAAACAATACGCGGGGGGGTGTCGAATACTCCCAAGCCGTCATCAGGGGAAGAGGGAGAGTAGTATTCATATTGAGTAATTGTGGAGGAGGTGGAGGAGGGGAGGGGAGGAGGGGACGGGAAGAGGGGAGGAGGTGGAAGAGAAAAAGAGGGGAGGTAAAAGAGGGGATGGGGAGGGGGGCCTCTCACCCAAGAAAAGAGAAAGAGAGAGAGAGAGAAGGGGGGAGGGGGGAAGCCTCGCCGCTGTGCCGTGTGCACTGACGGCGGCCTCGTCATCGACTCGGTCGGGGCCCAGAATCGTCGCCTGGAGAAGCAACAGAGGAAACCTCCCCCTCGTCCTCCTCCCTCCACCTCCTCCTGCTCCCTCCTCTCTGCTCCTCCTCCTCTCTGCTCCTCCTCCTCTCTGCTCCTCCTGCTCCTCCTCCTCCTCCTCCTCCTCCTCCTCCTCCTCTTCCTCCTGCCATGTTCTCCTTGCCGTGCACTCGCATTGGCTCCGCACTTGGTTTTGGACGAGAGGAGAGAACGGGGAACAACCTTGAAACTCCAATGGCTCTGCCACGATTCTGCTGTTTGCTGTGGGCGCTGGCCGGGGCGGACAGCCACTGCCCGCCAAAGACAGATAGACGCTAACAAAAGGAACTACCCGTGGCACTTACTGCCCGGGCGAGCGGTCCTGGAGGAATGCGGCCCGCGAATCGGGGAACTAAGCCATGGCCCCGAAAATCGGCTATGGCCCCGGCCTCGGGCTGGAGCAGGGGAAGTCAATGGGGCGAACATTCAGGCGATCATAGCGATACGAACTCACCGCCAAACGTATCGGCGCCGCGAAGGGAGCAAGGAGAGGCAAGGGGAGGGGGGGATAAAAAACGAAGAGATCAAAAGGACTGACCAATAAAAGAAACAAACCGTGCTTCACGTGGAAAACTGCCATGGCTCACGCCAAAGACTGCCTTGCCTCACGCGGAAAACTGCCGTGGCTCGCACGGAGAACTGAAATGGCTCACGCGGAAATCTGTCGTGACTCGCGCGGGCAACTGCCGTGATTCACACAGAAAAATGGCGGAACACTGCTGTGATTCAGGCGGGAAACTGCCGTGAGCTGTTTTTTGTTGGCACCCACCGCCGCTTCGGCACTCCCCTGGTCTTCCTGCGCGTCTGCCAGTTCCCGCTCAGGGTTTGAGTCTCTGCCGGCCCGCAACTTCACGCATTCTGTCCGTCGAGGACGTTCGTATTCCGAGTTGCCCGCCTCTTCTCAATGCTGTTTCGATCTATCAGGTCTCCTGTTGTGGCTCTTGGCTGCTTGCAGTGATGCCATTGAGGAACATTGGGGCAAGAACACGAATCATCGAAACGCCCTGCGTCGCGTCATCATCAACCCGCTCCTCCCTCCTCCTCCTCCTCCTCCTCCTCCCCCTCCTCCTCCTCCTCCTCCTCCTCCTCCTCCTCCTCCTCCTCCCTCCCTCCCTCCCTCCCTCCCTCCCTCCCTCCTCCTCCCGCGGCCCCAGGGGGGACCGAGTCCGAAGGGACCCCCCCGAGGAAGACGCACAACACCGCGCCGCCGCGGGTTGGGCCACGTGGTCGTGAATCATGCGCTGCTGTATGCCGCGATGGACAGGAAAGGCAGCGACTAGTTACAGTAGTCGCCCGAGGGCCTTCCAGCGCGAGCACCTGGAAAGGCAATCGCAACGCATCCACATTCCTTCGCAAACGACCACGTGCCCTGAATGCTCCAGGGCAGCAACGCGATGAGATGAGGCGACGCCTGTTGGTCCAAAAGGGTGAGTTGGGAACCAAGGTGCAGAAAAGGCGAGAGTTAGAGACAAGGTGGTCTCGTGGTGATCCATCACCTCATCATCAGAGGGGGGGGGACGCAGACACGATAGACCTCCGTATTGCACGGTGGACGCCGTCTTTAATATCAAAAAACCATACGGGCATTGCGCTTCAAAACAAACCTGGTGACGATGCAGGAAAATGATAACCACAGCGCCAGTCACGTCGGTGCCACGCTTGGGAAGGGCACCAATCTGGAGCTCTCCAGCGAAGGTTTGAACAAGACTGGGGTGATGATTGGCAGTATGGCATGGGCGCCAAACAAGTTGGGCAAGAGCTTCGGCTGATCTTTGCTGGTAGGGGGGGACCTGCTACCATCTTTTCCACAACAACGGCTCGGAGGCAATCACGGCCATCTTAGTTTAAAACGAGTGGCACAAGGAAACAGTCTGGGCAAGGGAGGCCCCTGTAATACCGTTGGCATGCTGCCTGGACCAGGGGGCCCTGCGACGGGAACCCGAACAAAACAACCTTCGAAACTCATCGCGCGGTGGAATGAGGTCGAAATCACTCTCACGGCACGGCGACTTACGCTTTTGGTTTTCATTGCAAGCTCCCAGCACCACCTGGCTATCGCCAATGGTGCTGTATTCGCTCGTTCCGAGCAGTTTGTAAAAGCACAGGCCTCGGACTGGGAATCTGGACCACTGCTAGCTCGCATTGGCAGAGCATGATCACAACATCTTGTTCTGTCACCGCCGGAAAGCGACGACTGGCGGAGATCATTCCACTCGAGCTTGGTGCCTCGACCACCGACGGAGTCGCGCAGGCTACAGCAAAGACTGCCCAGGGCCTCTGAGCATCCCCCCATCCGCCTCCTCCTCCTCCCCCTCCTGCTCCCCTCCTCCTCCTCCTCCTCCTCCTCCTCCTCCTCCTCCTCCTCCTCCTCCTCCTCCTCCTCCTCCCCCAGCCTCTCGGCGCTTCCCGTTCCCAGGCCTCCGCCAGCCTCTCGGTCCCCCCCCGTTCATTGAGACCCCGTGGACAAAAGCGGCCGCAAGGATATCAAGGCGACTGGTTTTGTCCACGCCCTCGGCCTGTGGGGGGGTCCTCTTTCGGGGCCTCTCTCCAGGCCCCTGGCCATCAAGAAATGACCCGGGACGAAAAAGGTGCCCCAAGGATGGGGTCGAGAGCTGCTCGGGTACACGCGAAAGACAAAGCACACGACGCTCTGGGGGGGGGCTCGTCCCCCTTCCTGTCTCCGCCCACCAGACCCTCGTTTACCCGAATGAACGCCCGCCCCCGCCCGTCAGGGTCCGCCCGCCGACTCGCCCGGAGGGCTCCGCGAGCCCCTGCAAGGGGAGGGCATGTGAGGGTGGGTGGGCCCAGACCCCTGACGTCTTATTCCCCAATCAGTGCTTGCACTGAAGGGGTCCTATAACGGAAATCGAAACATTTAACGACGCCGATTTTGGTGGCCGGCTGGGTTCCTGGGTTCCCGGTTCTGGGTTCCCCTGTTCCTGGTCATTGGTTCCGGCCCGACTTCAGTGGCTTCCGGGTTCCAGGGTTCCTGGGCGATCTTCTCATCGATCTCTTTATCGATCTCATTTCAAACCATCAACTGATTGGGCATTTTCTCTGGTGTAGTTTTTGTTGGCAGCGTGGTCCCCCGAGATCCCGACCCCTTCCCAGGGACGTGCTTCTCATGCCTCGAGCCTTCGGTCTGACGGCCCCAGCGCCCGGCAGGGGCCCCTAGAAGCAGAACGCTGTCAAAAACCTTGCGCCTTGATCTTTGTCACGACGCGAGGGGTCTGGAACGGGGTTCAAAAACGCTCATTGGACCTTGGACCTGTCTTGGCGGCGCGCACAAGGGGGTGGGAGGGGGGAGGGCCTCTTACAAGGGAGGATGCTTCTTAGAAGGCGCCGGCCTTGCATCTATAGATAAAAGGCCCGCGCCTTCTAAGAAGCAGGGGTGCTTCTAAGAAGCCCTCCCCCCTCCCCCCCCTTACCCCCCCCACCCCCCTCTGCGCGCGGGGCCTTCCCCCAGGACCAATTCTTCATACCGACCCGTTTTCTGACAGTTCTGGGGCCGGTGGAGGGCCCAAGGAGCTCGAAAGCGTCGAAAGCCCTTAGGACCCGCTTCCCTCAAGTGGGGGGCAAACAAACCTACCTCGCTTTTGACCACCCTCGCTTCCAAGAGATGCCAAACGATGCCAAACTACGGCCTGTACTGGTCAGGCCGCTTGACGAGGAGGCGCGTGGTATGACTTGGTTTTGCCTGGAAGCGAAAGCGGGGTAGGTAATTCACGCTCTGAGCAAGACCCGTGTACCCCATGGCAGAATTCTACGGCGCCGGATCCCGAGACCGGCCTCCAGAGGCCAACAGGCGTGAGAAGCTTCGAGCCCGGGGGCCTCTGGGGTTCCAGACACGGTGCGGTGGCAGACGCAGCCGCGTAGCTTCCGCACCCCCTGTCAGCGGAGAGCGGAGAAGGGGAATCGACCCGACGTGGCTCCCAAGCCCGGGCCGGCCAGAGCGGAGTGGTGACATCTGGGTCTTTGACGTTAGGGTTTCGGGCTTAGGGTTAGGTCGGGCATGTCCGCCCACAGTGCTACAGGGGGATTTTGGACGAAGAATGAAAGATATGCGAAGCATCTTCAAAAATAATCAAAACAAATTCAAAAAACCCGCCCCGAATCATTGTTCGATGATTTTTGAATATTCCTCTATTCTCCTGTAGAGGGACGAGCCCGACTTCAGTTTAGGGGCGCCGGGTGGTCGCCTCTGGCGGCCGTTCGGGGCCATCTGGGCCCCCCTGCTTTGATGGGTGCGGATGCGATAAAACACTAAATATATTTATTGTGCACTATAGGATCCTATCAACATGTACTAAAAAAAAGAAAAATAGTAAATTATAGTGAAAAAATAATGAAAACAATTGTGTTAAATAGTGAAAATAATGAAAAATAATGAAAAATAGTGAAGCACATAGTGAACATGAAAAATATGCAAATTCTGAGAAAAATCACAAACCAGCTTGCCACTTCCTTTCTCCTGACTTTCCGCAGCGGCAGACCGCTTTTACATTGCAAGTTGCACAGTGCAGCGGTTTGGCCGCTTCAGAACTTTCGTTTTTAATCACGTCCATGTTGGCTGCGGGGCCGAGGGCGCCGCACGTGGCGCAGCGAGGACCCCAGGCAGCCATTTAACGAATTCTCGCATTCGGTTGGGCGAATTCAAAAAACTTGAAGCCAAAAACGGCTGCGACGAAATCGTTACCTTGTCCTCCTCCTCCTCCTCCTCCCCCTCCCCCTCCCCCTCCCCTCCTCCTCCTCCTCCTCCTCCCTCCTCCTCCCCTCCTCCTCCTCTCCTCCTCTCCTCCTTCCTCTCCTCCACTCCTCCTCCTCCTCCTCCTCCTCCTCCTCCTCCTCCTCCTCCTCCTCCTCCTCCTCCTCCTCCTCTTCCTCCTCCCATGCAAAGCGGTTGGGCCGCTGAGGAGCAGAATGGGGAGGCAGGAGGGGAGCGAACGCAAAGCGGTTGGCCCGCTGAGGAGGGAGGAGGAAACGGATGAGGGAGGTGGCGGAGGGCGGGGGGGGGGGGTAACACTAGTCAGAAGAGGAGAAAGAACAACAAAAAACGAGGGGGGGAACGAAAAACACGAAAACAACGAAAAACAGAGAAGACAACACCAGGCAACAAAAAAACAATACACAAACAACAAAAAACAACAAACAACAGCATAACACAGCATAGCCACAACAAAACACAACATGTTGTTTTCTGTTGTTGTTTGTTGTGTTTGTGTTGTTTTTGCGTTGTCTGGTGTTGTCTGGCGCCCGCCCTACAAGACAACGCAAAAACAACAAACAAAAACAACATAAAAACACCATACAACAAAAAAACAACAACAACCATCAAAAAACAACATGAAAACAACACCCAGACAACATCCAGCTAACATCCAGCCTGCTGCCAATGGGAAGGGGAGGAGGGGGATGGGAAGGGGAGGGGGGGGGGGCGGAGGGGGGGGGGGGGAGGAGGGGGAGGAGGAGGAGCGGCAAGAGGATAGAGGAGGAGGGGGGGGGGAGGAAGAGGAAGAGGGGGAGAGGGAGGACGAGGGGGAGGAGGAGGGGGAGAAGGAGGAGGGGGAGGAGGAGGAGGGGAAAGATGATAGAGGAGGAGAGGTAGGAGGAGGAGAAGGAGGAGGGGGAGGAGGAGGAGGGGGAGGAGGAGGGGAAAGAGGATAGAGGAGGAGGGGTAGGAGGAGGAGAAGGGGGAGGAAGAGGAGGAGGAGGAAGAGGAATGGGAGGAGCTTCGGAGCTTCGGATTTGGGGGTGCCGAGGCCCAGGAGTGCCAGCACCAAGGGGGCGCCGAGGCCCCAAGAGGGGCGCCGAGGAGGAAGGGGAGGAGGGGGCAGAGGAGGAGGAGGAGGAGGAGGAGGAGGAGGAGGAGGAGGAGGAGGAGGGGGACGAGGAAGAGGAGGAGGAGGAGGAGGAGGAGGAGGAGGAGGAGGTGAACAACTCCTCCTCCCTCCTCCTTCTCCTTCTTCTCCCTTGGAGCACAACGTTCTGGCGTCGGTCAGACTTGTTTCAATGTCTGAATTTTGAAAAATAAAGAAAAAGTAAAACAATAATGAAAAATAGTGAAAAATAGTGAAACATAATGGAAAATAATGATAGATAGTGAAAATAGTGAAAATAGTAAAAATAGTAAAAAAAAAAAATGTGTAAAATAGAAATACATAGTGAAAAAATACATATGTTTAGGGATTCCAAGTTCAGCTGATGATAGGACACTGTAAGCTCCTATAGATCCTATAGTGAAACGCAGGGGGGACTATCGGGGACTACACTATCGGCATTCCTATGGAACCTATTGGGCCTCCTAACCAATCCTAACTCATCCAAACCTCTCCTAAAATAGAACCACTTACCTATACTATAACTACTTATAATTTCACACCCATCAAAGTGGGAAGCTCTCGACGAGGCGCAGCTGCTGGAACGCATCCCCAAAGCGAGACAGCCTCCAAGAGCCCACGACATCATCATGGCCCAGGCCATGCTGCCCCCCCCAGTCATCACCTCCCTCTTGGACCACCCCGCGCGTGGCCGAACCACCCCTCTGGAGGGCGCCCGGGGGCCTCGGGGCGGTGCCCTGGCCCTCTACCGCGGCCCCGCCCGCGGCGCGTGCGGGCGGCGCGCCGGGCGCGGGGGCTGCCCCGCGGGCCGGCCCTCTCGGGCCCAATAGCTGCCCAGCTGCAGGACTGACCGGCAGGGCTGCTCGAAGAGGCCAGGCTGGCTGCACAGGGCCAGGCAACGTTTGCGCATGCTGAGCGGGCCTTCCCCGGCCGCTGTTGAGATCCCCCCGAAGGAACAGTTCGAAATGTGAGGCGGAGAAGATGTGCCGCGGCGATCGCCGAGCGCGACCACGAGGCGGTCGGTCAGGGGAACGAAGAAGAACGATCCACGGCCAGGCCAGACTGCACCAGAAAGAACCGGGCTGGACAAACCCATCAAATGCGATATAATTCCATCTGCGGCATGTTCGGCGTTTGCTTTCGACACCGCGTGGGTCGTTTCACCTTGAAAAATAGCGACTTTCCGATCTAGCGCATGTCTCTCGACGTCGGCGGATCCCGTGCCACCGGCGGCGTTCGATCTTGAACGCCCGCGCTGAGGTCGTCGCCGCGCCGAAACGACACGAGCATGCCGTACTCTTAGGTCGGGCATGTCCCCCTACAGGGGGGTTTTGGAGGAAACATCCGAAATAGTCAAACAATATCCCCCAATTGTCAAAACCAGTATAGTAAAATCATCCCAGACTATCTTCTAACTATTTTTGAAGATTCCTCCTGTAGAGAAACGTGCCCGACTTGCCCGTACTCCTGATCTGAGCGAACCCGGCCCCCAAGAAAATCTGGCCCGAGGCCTCTCCCCCGTGCAGTGCAAGCGGCTGACACGTGCAATCTCTGCTGCCCGTCGGCAGGAGCAGAGGACCAGAGGGGGGGTCCACCGGATAGGCACGGCGGCAAGAAGGTTGCCAGCATTGGCGTCGTGGCCGTGCGTGTCAAAGCGTGCAGTGCAGTTACGTGCCAGTCAGCGGCTCATGCGTTGAATAATCGTCTACAGAGTAAACTACGGGTCCTGTGATCTCTGATGCGTTCGTGTTGCAGATCAAGACGGCTGAAACGTAAAGAGCGGCCTCCCTCGTGACGGGCCCTGAACCGAAGCCCAACCTGTGGATCGGGAGGAGTTGCAAACAGACAATGCCCGCTATTTCTAAGAAGTGGACCCTGCCCTCTGCGACCCACTGCCGTGACGCTCGATCACAGAACGAACGCAGCCGCGAAAGCGAAATGAAACCAAATGCGACCGGTGCGACACCCGCGCGATCGGGCCAGGCCTGACCTCGGAGGAGGCCCGTTGACAACACGGGAGAGCCGCACACCTCCCGTGGTCCATTCGGGGGAACGGGACCATCGAAATCCAGGACGCGCTCGCCAAAAAAAAGAGTCGGCAAACCCGAGTTCCGGCTTGCTCGAGTCTTACGTAGACGAGCGCGTTCCACTACTCGCAGAGTAACAACTCGCAAATGGCCTGGATCCCCCGCGGGGGATCTACGATGAATTACATCAAAGCAGACATGTGTGCTTCGGACGTCTGCGAGTAGGCACTTCGTGAGTAATGGAACGCGCTCGGCGATTACGTTTCCCCGATCCACCCTGGCCCGTTCTTCGAGGGGGAGCCGGCCGTACGCCGCGGCCCGGCTCCGACGACCGCGCGCGGTCGCCAGCGCTCGACTGGGGGCATCGACGGCAGGATTGACTTACCCCGGAATTGATTTTCGCGTCGACTCTCCAACAAGAGTACGTCAACCGTTCGCAGATCTGCGAAGGTGCTACGAATTTCCCCCGTGGCTTCGACGAGAAACGTCCAATCTGGGTCGAAGCGATTCTGCAGTCGATCCCATGCTCGAAGCACGCCTGCGCGCGGCCGACGCTCGTCGGTTTTCCTCGCGCTCGCGGGGCCTGCCTCCCCGCCCAGAGGGGCTTCGTTCCTTATCTAGCGTTCCCTATTTCAGCAGCCCGACTGTGCCTTGACACGTCGATTGAGGATTTGGCCGTTTTTTTTCTGGTTCGCGAGAGGGCGTCGCGGCCGTGATTTTTTTGCCGGTCTAGGTCCGTCGGTTTCGGTCCTCGGCCGTTCTCTCACCAAGGGGAGGTTTGCTAAACCCAGACCCCCGACGTCATGATTTTTTCATGACGTCGACCCCTAGAGGTTTCGACCCCTTCCCAGGGACCGGCTTTTCATCCTGAGTCGTTTTTTGACGGCCCCGAGGCCCGGCAAGGGCCCCCCAAAGGCTGAAAATGACGAAAAACCTCCCGCCGTGGTTTTTGTTACTGCTCGAGGGGGTCTGGGAAAGGAGGTTTGTCCACCGCCGCGCGCGCCGAGGCTCGCCGCCGGCAGGCGCGCGCGCGCGCGCGGCGGCGGGCACACGGCGGGCGCTGGGCAGACAAAATGCGCCCCGCCGGGCGGGCGCGCGCACGGTGCGGGGAGGGGCCAGCACGGGCCTTCGGAGGTCGGCGGGGAGGCGTGGGATCGGCGCTGCCCAGACCTCCAACGCATTGAAGAAATAGATTTTCTCGATTTTCGGCCTCGAAAAAAATCAAGAAGGAGGTTTTTCTCGATTTTCGGCCTCTGGCGGCCCTCGCCGGGCCCCGGGACCGTCAAGAAACGACTCAGGATGGAAAAACGGTCCTGGGGAATAGGTCGAGACTTCCGGGGACCCCGCATTGAAAAAATCACGACGTCGGATTTCTGGGTCTGGCCCCCCCCCCCCCCTCCCTAGGGGTGCCTCGCGCGCCAGGGGCGGCGCCGGAGGCGAGGCCAAGAATAGGGGGCCACATGCGAACTCTATCCCTACCCCCAGGATTTCTGAGGGGGAGGGCGAAGTGAAGCCCACCCTCCCCCTCAGAAATCGTGGGGGGTAGGGGTAGGGTTCGCATGTGGCCCCCTGAAGGTCCAGCGCCGGTCCAAGAAATCCGCGCGGACCTCCGAGACATAATGTGTATGCTGATTTGTATTCGGCAAGCGGAGGTTGCCGAGCAGGCGGAGGTTGCCTCTCCTACATCTCCTGTGCGGCGGCTGCGAGGCCTAGTGGGAACACGCCAGGCTGCATGACGAGCACAATCAAGACGAGAGAAGCGTGGCCGACTCTATCATCGTGAGCTTGTCGTACTTGGGCATATCCAATAAGTACTTCGCGCCTTTCTTTCTTGGGGGGGGGGGGAAGGCAGGCTCCTGAAGACCGACCACCACCGGGGGGATCTGAAGCAGTGATGCAGTGCATGCATTTCTTGTCTGCATGCAGCTGGCTGAATGAGCACAAATATGGCTTACACTGTTACATCAAGTATAGAAGGATAGAGAGAGAGAGCAGCAATAACAACAACAAAACAACATAACAACACAATTACTCCGACGATAGGACCCCGGATGCGAATATGCTAAACTTGCCTGGAATTTCCTCTTGTCCCCTCCCTTCGCCTACTTACTCCTGCCTCCTCCTTCTCCTCCTGCCTGCTCCTCCTCCTGCCTCAACCCCTGCCTCCTCCTCTTGCCTCCTCCACCACCTCCTCCTCATCCTTTTCCTCCATTGTCCCTCTCCCTCTCCCTCCTCCTCGTGCTCCTCTTCCTCCTCCTCCTCCTCCTCCTCCTCCTCCTCCTCCTCCTCGTCCTCCTCCCCCCCTCGCCCTCCTCCTCCCCTCGCCCTCCTCCTCCTCCTCTCCCTCTCCCTCCTCCGTCTCCTCCTCCTCGTGTCCTCTTCCTCCCCCTCCTCCTCCTCCTCCTCCTCCTCCTCCTCCTCCTCCTCCTCCTCCTCTCTGCCTCCTCCTCCTCTCCTTTCTCCTGCTCCTTTCCTCCTGCCTCCTCCTAGGGCCTCCTGCAGCCCTTCGAGCCTTCTGGGCCTCCCGGGACCTCCTGGGCCTCCTAGGGCATCCTCCTCCTCCTCCTCCTCCTCCTCCTCCTCCCCATTGTCCTGTTCCCCCTCTGCCTCCTCCTCCTCCTCTTCCTCCTTCTCTTTCTCGTCCTGCATCCTCCTTCTCTTTCTCGTCCTGCATCCACCTCCTCCTCCTCCTCCTCCTCCTCCTTCTCCTCCTCCTCCTCCTCCTCATGCTCCTCTTCCTCGTGCGAAACACGGCCGAAAAGAAGCACGGCGCGCGTCCCAGCGACTACGGACCGGAGGACGACCCAGAGGAACCGCGCGCCGGAGGACGACCCGGAGAAAGCACGTGCGGTGCGGGTCCCATATGGAGGGGGCTCCCGCCTTAGAATTCCTCGCACTTCACTCACAGACGAGGCTCCCGCCTCTCGATACTTCCTCCATATTCAGGCCTCAGAAGTCTAAAAGTGACGACAAATACAGGAGGCCGATGACCCGCCTCGGACTCGAGCATGAAGTGCGGGTCTCATATGGAGGGGGCTCCCGCCTGCGACTTCCTCGCACTTCACTCACAGACGAGGCTCCCGCCTCCTGATACTTCCTCCATATCCAGGCCTCAGAAGCCCAAAAGTGATGGCAATTACAGGAGGCCGATGACCCGCCTCGGATTCGAACATGAAGTGCGGGTCCCATCGGGATGGGCGCTCCCGCCTGAGACTTCCTCGCGCTTCACTCACAGACGAGGCTCCCGCCTGATACTTCCCCCATATTCAGGCCTCAGGAGCTCAAAAGTGACGACAGTTACAGGAGGCTGATGACCCGCCCAGGATTAAAAACAGGATCCCCGAACAGCCCCCAACAAAACCCAACACGACACCACGAAACCCCGAGGCCCGGGAAAACCTTCCAGGAAGCTCCCGAGAAGCCTTCCATGAAGCCCCCAAATCGCCCTGGCGTCGCCACGGCATGATTCGGGCACGCGGGCCCATGACAGCAACAAATTTGCGGACGACCGGCTCGGATGAGGCTACCCGCAATCCACTCACAAACAAAAACTCCCGCCTCAGGCTTGCCCAAGATTCATGCCTCAGGAGCCCAAAAGTGACGACAAATACACGTTTCCGATGACCCGCTCGGATTACTCTTATGAGCTGCGGGCCCAATAGGAAGGGGGCTCCCGCCTGAGACGGCTTCGCACTTCACTCACACACGAGGCTCCCACCCGATACTTCCCCCATATTCAAGCTTCTATAGCCCAGAAGTGACGACGGTTACAGCAGGCCGATGACCCGCCTCGGGTTCGAACATGAAGTGCGGGCCCCGTAGGGAGGAGGCTCTCGCCTGAGACTTCCTCGCAATTCACTCACAGACGAGGCTCCCGCCTGCTACTTTCCCAAGATTCATGCCTCGGGGGCCCAAAAGTGACAACAGTTGCAGGAGGCCGATGACCCGCTCGGATTACCCGCATGAGCTGCGGGCCCCATAGGGAGGGGGTGGGTACCCGCCTGAGACTTCCTCGCAATTCACTCGCAGGCGAGGCTCCCGCCTGCTCCTTCCTCCATATGCAGGCCTCAGGGGCCGGAACAATGACGACACTTGCAGGAGGCCGATGACCCGCTAGGATTACTCACACGACCTGCGGGCCCCATAGGGAGCGGTCTCCCGCCGGAGACTTCCTCGCAACTCACTCACAGACGAAGCTCCCGCCTGATACTTCCCCATAGTCAGGCCTCAAGGGCCCAAGAGTGCGGGCCCCAGAGAGAGATTTCCTTGCACTTCACTCACAGACGAGGCTCCCGCCTGCTACTTCCTCCATGTTCAGGACTCGGGGGCCCAACAGTGACGACAATTACAGGAGGCCGATGACCCGCTCGGATTACTCATATGAGCTGCGGGCCCCATAGGGAGGGGGCTCCCGCCTGAGACTTCCTCGCAATTCACTCACAAATGAGGCTCCCACCTGATACGTCGTCAACATGAATGCGTGCGCGTGTGAGTGAGTGATGGTGATTGTGATTGTGATTGTGATTGTGATGGTGATGGTGATGGTGATGGTGATGGTGATGGTGATGATGATGATGATGATGATGATGATGATGATGATGATGATGATGATGATGATGATGATGATGTGAGTGATAATGACGATGTGAGTGATGCTGCTGATGCGTGTGATGTGAGTGGTGATGATTACGATGATGATAATGCTGATGATGATGCTGATGATGGCGATGTGAGCGATAATGATGATAAGGGTGGTGGTGATGATGGTGTGAGTGATTGCGTGATGAATGATGATAATGATGCAGTGAATGAGGATGAGGGGGTGAGTGCAATCGCTGCGCATCAACATGATGCAAGAAATTACGATGCAAGGGGTTACGGCGTCTAGACTGAAAACTTACCCTTGAGGGATGTCAGACGGAATTGGCTAAGGATGGGGCGACCATGCCAAGATTACACATATCCTTGCGAAAACACGTGGTACATGCTGTGGCTGCTGCAACATGTCTATGCGCAAGTCCAGGCTCGAACCGATCAACATCACAAAAGCTGAATCCCCACTCCAAACAAAGATCCACCACCGTCCCCTCGGCACGCTAGGGCGTGCTTAAACGCCTGGCAGTGATCTCGCATGGTTTCAGCAGTGTTCGTGGAGCGCCCCTCGCCGTCGACACGCATCGCGCTTGGCACTTGCAAGGGGCCGTCCCGAACAGCCCCCGCCCCACCGAGGGCCGTGACACGCCGCCGCCTGCACAAGGGAGCCGCCAATCTGTGCAGGGGGCTTCGGCGATGACACGGAGGACGACGAGGAGGAGCAGCAGCAGCAGTGGCACGCGGCACGGGCAACAGCTCGTTCGCGCTGCTCGCCTTTCTCCTTGATGGGCTCTCTGTACGGAGCGTCCTCGTAACCGGTGAAGATCGTGTCGACCACGTCCATGCCCTCGATGACCTCGCATCGAGGGGCCCGCCGGGTCTGCCTCCGTCTCCCTGCCCTCGCCCTCGCCCCCTCGCCGCCCTCCTCGTTATACTTCTCCTCCTCGGCCGCCGCCTGCCCGACCCGAGGGAGCGAGGACGTCCTCCCACGGCGGCGCCCGGCGGTCTCTGGAGACCGGCCGAGGCCCCAGGGAAGTCCCCATCGGACACCCCTGGGGGTCTTCCTGAGGGCCACGGAGGCCTCAGGGGGGACCTGGGACCCGAGAGAGGCCGAACCATCCAGAACCTCGCTCCTCTGCCAGCCGGCTCTGCCAGACGACCCCGAGAAGAGGCCTACCATCCCAAAGCCGAGAGCCCACGACTCTGCCACCCGCCGCGGGGAAACGTGGGTTCTCAAGCGCGCCGTGACGGCCACCGCCAAGCCCGAGCCCGTGAGCCGAGGGCCCGCAGCCCGCGCACTGCCCGGCCCGAGTCATCGAGATACCAGTAGGCAGCGCCAAATGAGGGACGGAGGGGCTTTTTGGCCATGGCGAGCCTCAACCACCAGTAGGATCCACGACCCAACGGCCCGACAGCCCGACCCCCTCCTGAGACCAAGGTGCTCCTAATGTCAGCGCCTCGGCTTTACACAATCGGGGCGTTGACCTACGGAACCCTGAATCAGGAACGAGGCCCTTGTTTCCCATAAGTTAAGCTTCGATTTCCCATGGAAAACCTCAGGAGCACCTGAGGCAAGCTGTAAAACAAACAGGGAGCACCGAGCCCCTCCCCAACGAAAAGGGTTCCTTCTTCATCGCCCCGACTGTAGGATCCACAACCAGTGGCCCAACAACCCGAACCCCTCCTGAGACCAAAGAGCTCCCTATGTCAGCGTCTCGGCTTTGTACCAATACTGCTGCTCTCTGGACCTCTCTCGGGATGCGCTGCCCAGGCCAACCTGGCTGTGGCGACAAGGGCCCCAGAGGACAGACAAGTCGAAACCGAAATAAATGCAACTGTGGGCATCAGTATGCCAAACTCGTGGCGCGACGACTTGCGCGCTGGTTTCTGACACCGCGTGCGTCGTCCAACCATGAACGATCGCGGTTTTCCAATAGCGCGGAACGCTCGGTGCGGGCTGTTTCTAGGTCGCTGGCGGTGTTCAACCTTGAACGCCCAGCGCTGGGGTCGCCGCCGCGTCGACACGACAAGAACCTGCCGTATGTGTTTCTCCTCTGTGCCCCCCCCCTCCCTACCCTAACCTGACCCAGGCCCTGTCGACACTGCGCCAAAGCTAACCAGACCCATTAAAGTCAACGTGGCCAACGGATCGGCGACACCAGTGTGTCACGCGCGCGCTGTAGCAAATGATGCACCATAATAGGGCGACACAGCAAAATGCAATGCAAAAGTGCCAACTGTATCATTAATCTCTCTTCGTTTCCAAAGAAGCATCTGGCCAGCGCTGAAGCGATAGCAACTTTCGCAATCATGAGTGTGGCTGGCACTGTGGCGAAAGCAACATTCTCAATCATGGATGTGGCCAGCGCTAAGGCGAGAGCAACTTTCGCAATCGTGGATGTGGCCAGCGCTAAGGCGAGAGTAACTCTTGTAGTCGTGGGTGTGGCCGGCGCTGATGCGACAACAATATTCGCAAACATGGATGTGGCCGGCGCTGAGGCGAGAGTGATTTTCGCAATCGTTGGTGTGGCCGGCGCTGAAGCGAGAGCAACATTCGCAATCGTGGATGTTGCTGGCGCCATGGCGACAGCAACACTCGCAATCATGGATGTGGCCAGCGTTGAAACGAGAGCAACGTTCGCAATCATGGATATGGCTGGCGCTGAGGCGACAGCAGCCGTCGTTGTCGTGGATGTGGCTGGCGCTGAGGCGAGAGTGACGTTCGCAATGACAGATGTGGCTGGCACTGAAGCGAGAGCAACGTTCGCAATCATTGACGTGGCCGGCAAATATGCGAACGCAAAATTCGCAATCATGGATGCGGCCTGCGCTGCGGCGAAAGAAACATTCCCAACCACGGATGCGGCCTGGGGTAAGGCCAACGCAAATTGGATATAAAAGACGTAGCCACTGGTGAGGCGAAAGCATCCGTCGTAATCATGGGCGAGGTGTCCCAATGCACACGCGCACGGCTCTAGCGCAACCAGCAGCACAACTGAAACGAGCAGCGCCAGAAACAGCAACACCATGCGCAGCGGCAACAACACCAACGCCACCAACAGCAAAAATCAGAGAGCAAGCCACACAAACGACTCCAGCAGCACTTCTCTGACCAACACGACAACACACAACTCAACCACTACGCGCACCAGCACCAGCGAAACTAGCAGCACCAGTATGACGACCACGACGGGGAATGGAGCAGCACCACCACGCGACACAGCATAAGCGCCACCAGCAGCAGCATTGCGACGACAACGACAGCAAACAGCAACACCAAACGCAGCAGCATCACCGCCACCAGCAGTGCCACTGTGACGAGCACGACTTGGAGCAACAACGCTACGCGAAGCCACTCAAATGCGAGCAGCAGTACCCGTGTGACCAGCACGACGGGAAGCAGCAGAACTCCACGCACCAGAATAAGTGCAAGGAGGAGCACCGCGGCGACGCGCACGACAGGATCCAGCAGCACGACACGCGCCAAGACAAACACCACCAACAGCACCACGGTAATCAGCACGACGAAAAGCAGCAAACACCACGCAGTGCCACCACCAATTCCACTAGAGCGAGTGGGACGGGAACGTGCAGCGCCAGGCGATTCGCGCTGGACTGCGCGAGTGCCCTCACCCTCCCGCAGGCCAGGGAAGCGGGGGGTGGGGCGTTCACTCCAGCGCGAAGCGTCGTGGCCCAGATCGTTCAATTTTCCGCTGGGGACTGGGGCGCCCGAGAGCAGAAACGCGCGACCCGTCCGCGCGAAGTGTTGCGAACCCCACCACGGGAGCAACTGCTGCTCGCCCCAAACCCGAACGGCGGCCGCTCCCTGGCAACGGGTTGCGCCAGCCGGGGCCTACAGCAGCAGCGCTAACCAGGAGCGCCATGGCGAGCGCGAGGACAGGGTAATGACTCGTCGTGGGCCCGCCGTCAGCGCCCGCCGCCTGCCGCCGCCCAGCCTGGACAGCAGCTCCAAAGCCTAGCACCAGCGCCCTGTCCAGCCAGCGGCATCACACGAGCAAGCAGCACCAACGCCACCAGCAGTTCCACTAGAACGAGCACGACGGGAACCAGCAACACCAGGCGCTTCGCGCTGGACTGTGCGAGCGCCCCCCTCCCCCCACTGGCGAGGCCAGCGAGGGGAGAAGCGTCCCCTCGCCCCAGCGCAAAGCGTCACGGCCCAAATCGTTCGATGTTGCGCTGGACACCGAGGGCGCCCCAAGGCACAACCCACAGCCTTTCCCACAGGAGCCGGCGATCGCCCCTCGCACCGCAGTCCACGCGGCCTGGCGGAGATGCGCACAACGATCCGCGACGCATCCGTGAGCAAAACGAGCGAAACGAGAAGTTCCACTGTGACCAGCCCGACAGGAAACAGCATCGCCAGCAGCAGCAGCAGCAGCACAAGCGCCACCAGCAGCAGCACAAGCGCCACCAACAGAAACAATAATACCACCTGCAATGCCATTTCACCAAAACCAATCGGAAGCAGCAACACCACGTGCAGCATCAACGCCGCCAGCAGCAGTAGCGCAAGGAACACCAGCACCACCAGCAACGGAGCCAACAGCAGCACCACTGTGACGAGCATCGCGAGAAGCAGCAACACGACACGCAGAAGCACCATCAACCAGCAACACCACCTTGACACGCACACTGGGAACCAATAGTACGATGCGCACCAGCTCTGGCGCAACCAGCAGAACTACCGCGACGAGCGCTACAGCAGCATCGGCGCCGCCACCAGCAGTGCTGAGGGCAGCAGTGGCAATAAAAGCGACGCCAGTAGTAGCTCTACGGCCCGCACGGCAGCGAGCAGCAAAACCACGCATAGCAGCACGAGCGTCCCGAGCAGCTGCAGTTTGACGAGCGCGACGAGGAGCAGCAACCACACGCGAAGCAGCATCAACGCCGCAAGCACCGCCACTGCAACGAGCACGACGGCGAGCAGCGGCGCCAAGCGCAGCAGCACGAGCGCGACCAGCGGCACCGCTGCGACAAGCACGGCAGGAAGCAGCTGCGCCATGCAAGGCAACACCAGTTCCACCAGAACGAGCATGACAGGAACCAGCACCACCAGGTGATTCGCGCTGGACTGTGCGAACACCCCCATGCCCCCACCGACGACACCCCCCCACCGGCGAGGCCGGCCAGGGGGGAAGCGTCCCCTCGCCCCAGCGCGAAGCGTCACGGCGGGATCGTTCGATTGCGCGCTGACCTGTGGGGGGCGCCCCAGACAAATATGCGCAGTGCGTCCGTGCGCAGTTTGGCTGGAAGGTGCGAGCCCCGCCCCGGAAGCAACTGCTGATCTGCCCAAGCCCGATTGGCGGTCGCGCCCAGGGGGAGGGGTTGTGCCAGCCGGGGCCTGTACTAGCAGCGCTGCCCAGGACGGCCACGGCGAGGGCGAGGACGGGGTAATGGCTCGTCGTGGGCCTCCCGTCAGCGCCCGCCGCCAGCCAGCGCCCAGCACCAGCGCTTTGCCCGGCCAACAACGGCGCCTAACCTGGCCAACAGTGGCCCCTGGGCAGCGCCCTCCCACCGTCGTTGTCCGGGGCATCAGCACCACTGTGACCAGCACGGCGGGAAACAGCAACACTACGTTCACCAGCCCAAGAGCAACGAACTGAACCAGCGTGACGAGCCTCACCAGAGACAGCAGCCTTCCGCGAAGCAGCAGCATCAGTGTGGCCAGCACGAAGGGAGGACGCAACACAGCAAGCAGCACTACGGGCGCCATCGGCAGCACCACTGCGATCAGGCAGACGAGAAACAACAGCACTACGCGCACCAGCACAAGTGCAGCGAGGAGTACCACTGTGAGGAGCATCGCTGGATGCAACACCACTGTGACCAGCACGACGGAAATCAGTAGCACCATGCGCAGTACTACTAGCGGCACCAGCAGCACCATGTAACCAGCAAAACAATAACCGGTAACACAACGCGAAACAATCCAAACGGCACCCTGGCACAGTGGCCTCGGACGGGGCCGTGATCCGGAAGCTTGCGCAGCCCACAAGCTTGCGAGGCTGCGTCTTCCCCTGCGACGCATATGGCGTTCGCAATCAAGATGTGGCGGGCGCCCCAGCGATGGTACAGCCTATAATCAAGGCGAGAAGGGCATTCGCAATCAAGGGCGCGGCCAGCGCCGAAGCGGCAGCACAACATTCGCAATTGTATTTTTGGCCGGCGCCAGGCGAGAGCAGTACTCCGAATCGAGAGCACAGCCCGCGCTGAGGCGAGAACAACAATCGCAATCATGCGCTCGGCTGGCGCCGAAGACCTGGGCCAAAGCAGCATTCCGAGTCGAGAGTGCGGCCCCCGTTGAGGCGAGAACAGTTGTCGCAATCATGCGTGCGGCCAGCGCCTAGGCGAAAGCAGCAGCTTCAATCAGACGTGGCCAATGCCGCAGAGAGAACGACATGCTCAATGAAAGATGTGGCCGCCGCCCGGGCGACGTCCACATTGTTCATCAGACATGTGACCGGCGCCACAGCGAGAACGACATGCTCAATGAAGATGTGGCTGGAGCCTGGGCGACAGCAGCATTTTCCATTTGACATGTGAGAGGTGCCACAGCGAGAACGACATGCTCAATAAAGAATGTCGTCGGCGCCGAAGCAAGAATAGCATTTTCAATCAGGCACGTGGCCTGCGCCAAGGCGAGAACGACACGCTAAATGAAGGATGTCGCCGGCGCCTCGGCGACAGCCCCATTTTCAATCCAAGATCTGGCCAGCGCGAAGGCGAGAACGACATGCTGAATGAAGGATGTCGCCAGCACCTAGGCGACAGCAGCATTTTCAATCAGACATTTGGCTGGCGCCAAGGCGAGAACAACATTCTCAATGAAGGACGTCGCTGGCGCCTAAGCGGCAGCCACACTTTCAGTCAGAGATGTAGCCCACGCACAGGCGACAACAACACGCTCAATAAAGGATGTCGCTGGCGCCTAGGCGGCAACAATATTTCAATCAGATGTCGCTGGCGCTTGAGCGACAGTAGCACTTTCAATCAGACATGTGGCCCACGCACAGGCGAGAACGACATGCTCAATGTAGAAGTCGCCGGCGCCTTGGCGAGAGCAACATTTTCAATCAGAGATGGGGCCCACGCTAAGAAGAGACCATCACGATCAATGAAGGATGTCGCTGGCGCCTAGGCGATAGCAACATTTTCAATCAGAGATGTGGCCCATGTACAGGCGAGAACAACACGCTCAATGAAGGATGTCGCCAGTGCCTAGGCGACAGCAACATTTGCACTCAGACATGTGGCCCACGCGCAGGCGGGAACAACACGCTCAATGAAGGGCGTCGCCAGCGCCTGGGCGACAGCAACATCTGCACTAGATATGGCCCACGCACAAGCGAGAACAACGCGCTCAATGAAGGATGTCGCGGGCGCCTAGGCGACAGCAACATTTTCAATCAGAGAAATGGCCCACGCACAGGCAAGAACAACACGCTCAATGAAGGATGTCGCCAGCGCTTAGACGAGAACAACACGTTCAATCAGAGATGTGGCCCACGCGAAAGCAGGAGCATCATTCCGAGACAATCGGGTCGCCAGAATGCAGGTGTCACACCCATTCCGCGCGGGCTGGGCTCGGTGTCACCAAGGTCCAGGCTACGTTAGGTGGGTAGTCTACGTCAGGGGGGGGGGCTTGTAGGGCGAAGGTGGTGTTACGGTGCAGTTGCTCGGGGTGTCATCTAGGATTTCGGGAGCGTCCAGCGGCCCTCGTTTCTGCAGCACGTGTGGGGCGTTCGGGAACCGAGTGAATCCTGGAAGCTGTGGGAATCGCGCAACGCAGCAGCCACAGGACCTCTTGCTCCTCTGACTCTGATCCTGACTACCTACCAGACCACCCCAACCCAACCCGAAGACCCGAATTTCGGGTGGGGGGGGGGTAAGGGTTCCATCTGTGCTTTTCCAATTGTCCCCGACGCCCCCCCCCCCACACACTGGAATCGGAGGGCAAGTTGAGGCCTTCGGGTTGGGCTGGGGTGGCTTGGTGGGTGGTGAGATCCCCGCGCCCTCGCTCGGCCTCGGCGAAGGGCGAGAAGCCCTGGCTGTCCAGGCTGCTGTTGTCGCCGAAGTTGATGAACAGCTGGCAGGACCGCGTGTCGGGGCCTCGGCCCGCGCCGGCGGCGGGCACGGAGCCAAAACATATACACCACCACCACCTACTGAACCCCATCCCTCTCCCAGGAAAAGGGGAGGAGGGTAGAGGAGGATAGAGGGGAGGAGGGTAGAGGGGGGGAGGAGGGTAGAGGAGGGGAGGAGGGGAGAGGGGGGGAGGAGGGCAGAGGGGGGGAGGAGGAGGGTAGAGGAGGAAAAGGGACTGGAGGTGGTGGTGGTGGTGGTGGTGGTGGTGGTGGTGGTGGTTGTTGTGGTGGTGGTGGTGGTGGTGGTGGTGGTGGTGGTGGTGGTGGTGTATATTCTTGGGGCCTGCAGTGGTCGGGCATTCGCGTTCCCTTGTTGGCGAGCCCGCGTGGAATCTGCGCTGGGTAGGCTTGGAGCCTCCCGTGGGCATCTTGGGGGCCGTTGTGGGCCCTCTTGGGGGGGCATGTTTTGTTCTCTCGGCGCCTCCCAGGCACCTTGCGGGGCGGAAGGGTTGAGTTGTCTGCTCGTGTTCCCACTCTTGGCTCTTCGGTCGTCTTGGCGTTCTCTTTCGGGGCCTCCTGGGCTGTTCTGGGGCGCGTGAAGCTCGAAAAGGCGAGAAGCCCACGAACATTGAAAACACACCATGCATATGCACGGTCTACACCTCCCGACGCCCTCTGGGACAGGCTATTGGGGCTCTCTTGGTACGTCTATCGGGCTTCCGGTCCACCGTGGGGGTCGCTGAGGCCCTTCTGCTGGGGATTCCGCGGCGTCCAGAAGAAAGGGGGCGGCTGGCCAGGGCGGCTGGCCGGGGAGGCCGCCCGAGAATGCCCAGAGGCGGGGGGGGGTCGGACGAACAGGGTCCTGGATTTTCGGGGAAGTGCGGGCCATCCAGGGTGTCTTCCATCCAGGATGTATATCTATAGGGATATAAATCTATAGACACACACGCACTCAAAGAAACGCGGTATTCCCCACAGAGTGCCTGCACTTACTTCGGAGCTCCTATTTGTTTTCTAAAGAGCTACTTAGACTTGCGAATCCGCCTGACGCCTATGTCGTCGCCGTCGGCACCCCGTCGCCGTCAGTCGTCTGGGCCTGCGGGTCGGTCAGGCGGCTATGTCGTCGCCTCTCAACGCCCGTTCCCCTCGTCGCCGGATCCCACATAGATTGCACAACATGTAATGCTCCACGTAGATTCTCCATTCTAAAAGAAAATAAACACACTCTCCACACTCTCCCCCCCCCACCTCGCGGATTATCGCCCCCCTGTTCGTGTTGCAATTATGATGTTGCCCCATCATCCATCCTAAACATGAGCTCGTACCATCCCAGCCGAACCGGTATCGCCCCCCCCGCCATCCTCTGCAAAACATAATATGCGCGCAGTCGTCGATCACAAATCATCCGTTTGCAATAACCCCTTGCAGAAAAAAGGGACGACATGCACACGCGCGCGTCGTCGCGCGCGCATGCCGAAATTCTTCAAAACACCGAATCGAATGTCAGAAAAGCCTATTAATACACAGGGTTTCGCAACACGGATTTTCAAAGAAAGTTTTCGCGCGCGCTCTTGCAAATAAGAAAACCATATGTTCCAACCTCTTTTCCATAACATGCAATCAGACGGGCTTCGCGCGCGCATGTCGAAATCGTTCGAAAGCCTTTGCGCGCGCGCCGTCGCGAGAATCCTTTGCACAAAACAAGACGAAGTGCACGCGCGCGCCGCGTCGCGCGCGCATGCCGAAATCCGTCAAACATTTGCGGTATCGTAGCAATTCCAAAACCCAGTGTCCAAACAACATACAAAAAACATATGGCTTCGCAAAATAAGTTGCCAAACGGGCCTCTCGCGCCGAATGCCGGCATGATTCGCACGCCCTTGCGCGCGTGCTGGGTGGGGTGGGTTGGGGGGGGCACGTTCTGTGTCAAAGAATACCATGCGGGCCACTCTCGCGCGTCGGCCGCGCGCGCATGTCGAACTCCTTCCAAAACCTTTTTTATCACCGACGCGAGGACGCCGTCATCGTCGTCGGCGTGATCAGCATCGGCGCCCGCACTGGCCGCGCCGCCGTCGTTGTCAACATCGTCACCAGCATCGCTACTACCATCATCGTGTCTACTGTTGTCGACGTTGCCATGGTACCGCGCCCGCCCACGTCGACGACTCGTACTGAAGTGCCCGTTGGGATATGCCCAGCGGTCAGCGCCACAGCAGCCGCGTCGCCGCCGCGCGCGCGTGCTTGGGTCGGCGAGTCCGCAGACATGGACCAGCCAACGTCAAGCACTCATCGCAATCGCCACCGCATGGGTTTTGCAAACCCAGTTGCCGGTGGGTGGGTGGGATGAGTGCGCGAGCAGTGGAGGTGGTCAAACGCGGTGCAGGGTAGTCAGTTGAACCACATAGATGACACCACACAGATTGCACCAGACAGATTGCACAACATAGATTGCTCCACATAGATTGCACAACATTTCCACACTCTCTGTACCACATATCCTGTCACACATAGATTGCCCAATAAAGAATGCACCACATGCATGTTACCACTTACTATGTTGCCAAGCATAGATTGCACCACATAGGTTGCATAACATAGATTGCACCGAAGAGATTGCACCACTGATATTGCACCGCATAGGTTGCACCACATAGATTGCACAACATATATTGCACAACCTATACTGCTAATTGCGGTAAACGCTGGCTAGCATACATACTTGAAGAACCTCTGTGCGCATAGGCTGTCGGAGTTCCCCGCGGATTTCTTGCGTCGGCGTTGGACACTTCCTGGCGGCGCCACCAGAGCCAACCCCTGGCGCGCTTTGCGCGCCAGGGGCGGGGGGGGGGTCCAGCGCCGAGCCGAGAAGTCCGCGACGAAGCGTCGACAGTCTGAGTTCATCTTGTTGTTACCCTGCGGGAGACGACAGCGATGCCCCCCAAGCATTGCGCATCCCCACACCTGGGCTGTGCCGCAGGATAGCGAGTGGCGGCTGGCGAATCGCACGCGTCCGACGGCAGAAACCCGCGTCAGCGTCTCCACGAGGAGGATGATGAGGATGCAGAGGGACCCTGAGGGCCCCGACCTCTGGGTTAGTTGTGCAACGCGGGGCCCCTAGACATCCCAACGCCTGAATCGTTTTGGACGGTCCAGGCTCCGCAAAGGCACCTTCAGCAGCCGAAATCGAGCGCCTAAAACTGCTCTGGGAACCTCTGGGCGTCGCGGCTCTCGATGGGGAGGAGGAGGAGGAAGAGGACAACGAAGAAGTGCCTGTACAAGACTCCTTGCCAACTGTCCTGCCCTCCCTCCTCTGCCCTCCCCTCCCGCTCCCTTCTCCCACCCTCCCTTGTCTCTCTTTCGTCCGTGCGCCCCTGAGGCTGGCGCCGCGCATGGCGAAAGACAGCCTGCCCCTGGTGTTGCTCTCCTTCACGGGATCGTCCTTGATCATGCTGCTCCTTGCGGGCGCTGCCGGGCAAACGGCCAGCGACTCCACAGGATCGCCGACTGGGTCTAGCCGTGCGGTAAACTGGGAAGCGGACGGCGATGGGTGGGTGTGTACTCAGACTAGCGGATCTTGTCGCTCCTTGCGTTTGTTCATTGTCCGCCGGCCCCTGCGGGGCCGCCAGGCTGCGAAAGTCGGGTTTCAGCATCAGCCAGTCCTAAGATCATCGGTCCCGATGGCAGTTCCAGTGAAATTCCCAATTTCAAATCTCAAATGTTATAGTTATACTTCTTGCTTCCTGCTGCTAACTGTCGCTGAAGCGCGGGGGAGAAAGGCCGAAAACACCCTGGCCACTATGGCTGTCTGGGGTTCTCAGAACTCCCCGGTGGGCTCTGGGAGAAGCAGAACTACGTGAGATTCCCGTCCCTGGGTTAGTAACGCCAGATTCGCGCTCCATCAACGGAGAGCTCATGATGAAGCAGGGCGCGATCACTGACGGTGAAGTCCTAAAGGCCGCCCGAAAACTGAAGCGAGGCAAGGCTGGTGGAACGGACGAGGTGCCGCCTGAATTTTGGAAAGCGGCACCCGAGGACGGCATGCCCACTATCCTTTATTCCACTGCATGCACTTCGACATCTCTGATCAGGGCAGCTCGCCTGGGCAGCGTTTCTGGATGGGCTGGTGGCTTTGCGCGACGCGCTAAGCTTCAACATTTACGCTGCGCTTCTAGAGCTACGCCAGGGCCACAATACCTTGCAAATGCGCAGGATTTTGGGCGTGGCTTAGTGGGGGGGTCACAAATGGGGGGGTCAGAAAAGGTCCCCTTTCGTGCCCCTTTCGGGCCCCTCCAGAGCCCCAGGGGGCTCGTTTAGGTACCGTTTGGGTGCCTTTTCGGACCACACTCGCCACCCCCCCATGTATGACCCCCCTATTACGCAACGCCCAAGGACTCCCGCTCCCAGGGCATCCCGGGGGCGCCCCAGGGGGCTTCCTGAGCCGCCCGAGGCCTCCGCACGCCGTGCGCCGTCATCTGCAAAGGATTCTCAGCACGGGGCGCGCCGTCCTCGAGCGGGCACGCAAAGCAAATTTGACTACCTACCAGACCACCCCAACCCAACCCGAAGACCCGAATTTCGGGTTGGGGGGGTAAGGGTTCCACATGTGTTTTTGTCGATGCTTCCCGCCTCCCCCCCCACTGGAAATCGAGGGAACATATGAGCCTTCGGGTTGGGTTGGGGTGGTTTGGTGGGTGGTGAAAATTGACCTGCTTCACATTCTCTTCCACGAACTTCCTGCGAATGTCAACGCACCCCTCACGAGGACTCTGCGCAGCATGCTCCGCGCCCTCCTCTTTGCAAGCGGAAGCGTGCGGACTCTGTTGGTTATCGGGGGATCCGACATCGGGGGCGCGCTTGCTTCGAGCGAGCACGCGCGAAGCGCGTGCAGTCTTTCTAATTTCTAACAGAAGCAAAACTTTGGCAACAAAAAATTATCGAACGGCAGTCCGCCGACCCTCTTCAAGCATGGTTGTAGTATCGGGGACACTTTACAAGCGAAAAGAAAACCTTGGGCTGGAGCCCTCTCCAGGAAAAAAAAAGGCGGCCTCGAAATCCAAGGAGACGCCATGGCCCTGCACGGCCCCCTCTTGGCTGCCCCCGACGGTAGTTGGCGGTGCGCACAAGGGGGTGGAGGGAAAGGGGAGGGCTTCTTAGAAGGAGGCTGCTTCTTAGAAGGCGCCGGCCTTGCATCTATAGATAAGGCCCGCGCCTTTTATTAGGGGGACGTAAGACCTGGGTACAGGGGACTCGGAAATCCCCGACGAGGCCGTCAAAAAAATGCCGAGGCCGAGCCTGCATCTTGACGAGGCCTCCCGCTGCAGACATCCCACAAAACTCCTGCTCGTCAAAATCCGCGGCGCGGTCGTCAAAAAACGATGGCGAACCCGAGTCCTGGCAAACCCGGGGGGCTACGCTCCCCCGATTCTAAGAAGGTGCTTCTGAGAAGCCCTCCCCCCTCCCCCCGCCCCCCTGTGCGCGTGGCCGAGGTGGGAGGACGCTGCGGGGCCGGGAGCCGAAGCGTGCGCCGCTCCACTTGCTGTACTGCTCCGCCTCGGCCGGGATGCCGAACTGTGCCATGAAGCCCTGCGGGGCACGGCGGGGGCGCAGGCGCAGCCTCGCACCGCCCGCGCGGTGCCTCTGCCCCCTCGCCTCCCGCCGCCTCCCGCCGCCCGCCTGGCCTCTGCTTCATTGCGCACCCCCTCGATCGGGGGCGTCCAAGAGGGGGGCGTCCAAGAGGGAGGGGGGCGCAGACCATGGCCGCCGGCATGCGCGCGTTGGGTTCCAGAGTGGGTCTGAGAGAGGGTCATGAAACAAACGTTGCAACACATATTTTGCGTATCTGTGCATATGCGGTCTGGCAGATCGGGGCGGCATCATCGCGACGCCAACGGGCGTCGCGGACTCGAGCTTTTGGCCTGGAAGCACGAAGCGCACGATTACCCAGATCATGATGTTCTGCAACCAGTCACTGTGCTCTGGGGGTGCGCGGACACGCAAAACACTGTTCAGCTAATCGTTAGCTGGCGCCCGCCTCGAACTCATGCCCCATCCCCCGCCTTTTCCAAATATCCCTTCGCTGCGGCCCCACCCTCCTCATGCCCCTCCGTCGCCCCGGTCCTCATCATGCCCTTCATCTACACTGCCCCCCCATGTGTCAATATTCACGTCGTTCCTCGTCGTCCTCCTGCGCCGGATTCGTTCCCCCATCGTCCACATGCCTGCCCTCCTCCCATCCTCTACGCCCTAGTGCACATCATGCCCCCAACTTCTGCCCTCCCCCACCTCCCTCGCCCTCGTGATGCTGACGCCGATGATGCAAATCCTCCTGGGTTCTCTTCCTCCGCTCTCGTCCAGTCCCCTTCATCCTTGGCCCCTCGGCCACCCCTCCTATCGAACCCCTTCCTTCCCACAGCCCACCATCCCCACCCCCCCGCGCCTTTGCTGCCCAGACCACGGCCCCCTCCTGGACCAGCCGGGAGACCCGCGGAAACTCCCGCCCAGTGACCACTCCAGCGAGAGGCGCGCAACAAATGCACAGTTGGAGACACGAACTGTGTATTTCGACCGCGCACGACGCCGCCCCTGGACCAGCCGGAAGAGAAAGGCGAAAGTTCCCGCCCATTCAACACCACCCGCGAGGGGCACACTCCAAATACACAGATGGGAACGAGATCTGTGTACGTAGATCACACCACGATCTGTGTAAACAGCGGGCCCACACGCGAAAATACACAGTTGAAGACACAAACGGTGCACGCAGATCACACCTTGATCTGTGTATCTCGAAAAGGTGAACGCTCGCCACCTCGAGGGCGCCCCGATTTTGCCAACCCAAAACCGAGGTCGACATGCCCAGCTGGGGGGGAATGCAAATACACACTTCCCCGGCCCAGGGCGCCTCCGAGAGAGCCGCAAATACACGCTTCCCTGGCCCAGGGCGGCCGCGGCGCAACGCGGCGCCAAAGCGGCCCAAAGACGTCCCAGAAGGCCTCGAAGGACCCCAAAGAATGCCGCGCAGCAATCCGAAAACACGAGAGATGTCACATGTCATGGACCTCTTAACAATCAGAGCTCCACGCGTCGCCATATAGATCACTGCTCTGGCAAGGGGGGCGGACCTCGCCGCAGGCACCTATAATTTACATGTTAGCGATGCGACTGTGTTCGGCGGCCGTGCCGCCCGCATTTTGGATGCGCCCCGAAATCTCGCATTGGCAATCCCCTCTGTTTGGTTGCGCCGCTGTGCTCGGATATCGAAAAAGCATGTACCGCTGACGCGGGCACGCGGCGCCAGGGACTTCACTTTTCGAACAAGGAGGGTGGGCGAGGTAGGACGACGGATGGTAGAGCAGGGAGGCAAAGAGGAACGAGGAATAATGAGGGAGGTGGGAAGGGGCTCTCCCCCGCCCGAGCCGCGGACGCTTTCGACACCATCCGGGGGAGGGAGGAAAGGAAGGGGAACGGAGCAAGGGCGAGGACGACGACGGGAAGCAAAGTGTCCTGGGTCCGCATATAGCCATATGTCTGCGATTCGGGTGCGCGCGTTTTCTTCGAGGTACTTCAAGCCGGACCCATACTGAATTCACTAATTCCTCAAAACTGTGTAAACACTCTGTCCTCTGTTCCCTCTCCTATACAACGGCCTCATAACAGAGGGGCAGTGGATTCCAATGCGCGCGGCCCGGGGGGGGGGGAGGCCGTGGACGTATTGAAATGGGAGGCGCCATGAAATCTAGGGAGATATCATGGCCCCCGCCATGATGATCCCCCCCCCTCCTAGTCTTAGGTCGGGCCTGTCCCCCTATAGGGGGATTGTCAAGGGGAAAAAAAAGTCAAACAATATACCAAAATGGCAAAAAAAAATCAAAAAAATAGTCCCCAGACTTGTTTCCCATTTTCGAGTATTCCCCCTGTAGAATGTAGAGGGACAGGCCCGACTTAACCCTAGTCATCACCCCTCTCTTAGCCGACCCCGACTCTGGGCGGTACGGTACGCCTGGGTGCTGCGACCAGGAACTTCTGCCTAGCGTATCGCGGCGGTCCTGGCGATACGCAGTGCCCTGCGAGCCGATGGCGTGTGGCTCCGCTCCGCTGGGCAGTGTGAAAGGCTAACCCAGATTTCGTAATAAAGGAGGGGGGTCTCATTTCGGGGGGGGTCTCTTCCAGGCTATCTTGGAGGGCCTGGGGGGTCTGGGGACGATGTTTTGGAGGGTTCTCCCACGGGGGAGGTCTGAAATGGCTTGTCTTGGAGGGTCCAGACCCCCTCCCTTATATTACGAAATCTGGAGTAGGGACGTTGACGCTCGCACAGATGGACGAGGTCATCGTGTCGCGCCGAAGCGCGGTGGGCCAGAACCAGGGGCGCGACGCGCCAAGCCAGAGCTCCCGACCGCAGGCATCTCTTTGCAGGCGCTCGCGATGTGGCTATCCTCCTTGCAGTGCAGGCCTTCACCAAAGAGCTGACCGCGTTGCACATCTGGTCGTGCGTACCAGGCTTCTCTGTTCGGCAGCCGGTCCAAGAAGGTAGTTCCCAACAAATTCCCACCCGCTGCCTCCCGTATCCCCCCTCTCCTAACAGAACAACAAGCGGCATAAATATACACTCACTGTCGGAGGTCTGCGCGTGACCCCTGGGCGGCGGCCCTGGCGCGCCCTGCGCGCCAGGGGAAGGGGGTCCAGCGTCGACCCAGGAAATCCTGCGAACCTCCGCGAGCTTCTACTTACGATTCATGTTCTCCGAGTGTCCTGGCGTTGCCAGAGCTTGCCTTCTCGCTGCCCGGGTGCTGCCAGAGCCTGCCCTGGCCCTACGGCGATCCCAAGCTTTCCAGCGAGGCCCAGATGGCCTCCACAGCACCCCGCACGGGTCCCACAGGAGCCCAGGGCCACCGAAAAGCAGCGAAAAACTACTCCCTCGTCAAAATTGACATCAAAAATGGCGACCACGCCCCTGCGATGTCGGCGCACCCTTCGATGTCGATAGACGCAGATCCAATGTCGGGGCCAAGGCAAAAAAGGTATGACCGGGAACGACTCAGAAGTTCGATGACGACCGACATTGGAGGGGCGGCGCATACAAGCACCTCGCAGTCACCGCAACTCTGTCCAGCATCTCCCCACAAACAAATTAACCACGTAAGACATTTTTGAGGTTAATTTTGACGAGGGTTGTAAGGAACATTACACCAGAGAAAAACCCCAACCAATGGATAGTTTTTGCTGAAGAGATCGACCGGGAACCCGGGAGCCCAGGAACCCAAAACCCACCGAAATCGGCCCATGCCGGGAACCCGGGAACCCGGGAACCCGGGAACCCGCAACCGGGAACCCGGGAACCCAGCCTGCTACCAACATCGGCGGGAACTTTCGCCAAATTTTTCAACTTCCGCCAGGGCCCCTTGGGTGCAAGCACTGATTGGCGAACCATTGGCCAAGGCCATTTCGGGCAACCTCAGACTTCGCCCCCCTTCCCAGCACGGTGCCCGCCGTCCCCGTCCCCCCCGCCCGTTCCGTTCCTGTGGCGGCTTGGGCGCGCCCGCCTGCGGGGGAGACACCGAGCACCGGAAGTGGGAAGAATATGTGTGGAACGGTACGACCGAAGGCAGGCGTCGCTCGTCTGAGAGTTCCCCTGGGGGCGCCTCGGACACTTCACCCTTGCCTTCCCTGCCTGGGAAGAATCTGCAGTCTCTGCGCCCCGCACTGCGCCGCGCGCGATGATCCCCTTCCGCTCCCGCGCCGTCTCTGGGAGGCGAGCAGCTCTTCGGCCAGCACCGCGAGGCGCGGTCATCTTCGCGCACCCTTGAGCCCAAGAAGACAACAGGCAAGGGGAGATGCGGGGAGTCGAACTCAGCTTCGCCCTCATGAATTCGAGTTAGCTCCCGCTCCCTTCCCCACTTGGATATGCCCAGACGAATGCCGCGCAAGATGACATCCCGCCGGCGACCTGGTGCGCCAGAGTCCACGCACTTACCCGCCCACACTGCGTGGCGGCACACGCGCAAATTGCGGCAACTCTACGAACGCGCTGCACAGAACACCCCAGTGGAGGTTCCCATAACAATTCCACGGCCCACGCAATCATTGGCAAATGCGATGCGTAAGCCCGCAGCGTGGACGGAACCCTTTTGCACAGGAATCTTTCTTGGACCACCGAGTCCGCCACGGCCAGGAGGTTCACGCCAGCCGCGCGGGCTTCAGCCATGGCGGTCAGCACCTCCCGAGGGGATGCCCCGTCTGGGCGTTCCTGGCTACACCCCTGCCTCTGCTGAGTGCGTTCATCATGTCCCAGTCGCGCCGACCCGACGCATGGGTGATGATGGAGCTGGGGATGCCCCAGCACGTGTCCTCCGAGCAAGCAGCGCGTGGGTGACCAAGCGGGCCGCCGCTGCCACCGTGGCCTGCGTAGCCAGACGGGCCCGCGGGCTGCGCTGCGGCGCTGGAAGCGGCCGAGAGGAGGAGGAGGAGGAGGAGGAGGAGGAGGAGGAGGAGGAGGAGGAGGAGGAGGAGGAGGAGGAGGAGGAGGAGAAGGAGGAGGAGGAAGGGGGGCGCTGGGAGCGGCCGAGGCAGGCTCCCCGGCGGCCGAGGCGACGAGCCCGTCGGAGGCTGGAGCGGCGGGCGGCGGCCGAGCTGGCGAAAGGCCGAAGGCACGACCGTGCGCGGCCGCCTGAGCGAAGGGAGCTGCGGCCCCACCCTGTGAAGTCTTCTCCACGTGTGCTGGTGGGGCCTGAGGCCCCGCCCGCCCGCGCCCTGTCTCCCCAATTAGGGCTTCGCGCGCCCCGCCTAGCTCTTAACCGGAAGGGGCCCGCTCCCGACCCGCCGACCAACATGATGGACCCACGAACCTGGCGGAAAGGGATATAGAACCGCATGCATGGAAACGTTTTCACGACACCGTATTGGGCGACGGGCACTTCCACGAGACACCCCGCGAAACATTCCACGAGACACGGGCGACCGTTTTCAACGTTTTCCTGGAAACATTCCACGAGACACCCCGCGAAACAGTCCACGAGACACCCCACGAAACATTCCACGACGACAGGCAACCACTCAACCAAGGCGGTGTGGTCGTGCTGTGCTGGGGTGTGGTCGTGCTGGGGGGTGGTCGTGCTGGGGGGTGGTCGTGCTTGGGGGGCAACTCTGCGGAGCAAGCGTTTCGCTCGAGACATCCTCAACACACGAAAGAGTGCCCCGCACCCTGTGATTTATCGATCGGGATTTCAAAAAACAAGCGTTTCGCCTGAGACATCCTCAACTTTCAATCCGCTGGCCCACCTCGACCTCGATATTTATCAGGGAAAGAATCCGCCGGCCCACCTCAGTTGAGGCACCGGGGACAGATTACCATCCTAAATGAAAACCCTGGGCCCACGCCCTTTCCGGGAAAAAAGTGCTGGTGAGGCGCTGGCACGCCCGCGGACGCGCAGGCGAAGCGGCTTTCGGTCCAACCCCCGAGCCCAAGAAGGCGGCGGGGAGTCGAGCTTAACTTCGCCCTGGTGAATCCGAGCTTGGGGGCTCCGACCCTCCAGCTGCGGGCAGGCCGCTCGAGTGGGGAGAGCCAGTGCTCTGCGGGCGCACCTGGCGGGTGACATTTTCTCTAGGGGGGGGGGACAGCTCGGCGGTGGCGGGGGGTGACGTCAGCGGCTGCTGCGGCGTGCTGGTGCCATGTGATGCCTGCGACAAGGACTCCACCGACGCCGCACATGCACAGTAGAGCGCCCGTGGCAATACGACGGTGGCCTGCGAGCGCAGCGGGATGCCCGCGAGCGCCACCAAGGAGCCTGTGATCAACACGCCTGTCCGCGAGCGCCGCACCGTGGCTGTCAGCACCACCGTGTGCTTGCGGGCACAGCCCTGCGCCCGTCACCATCGCGAAAGGCTGCCAGCAACACGGATCGCACGTGAATGACCCGACGTATTTGTGATCACGGGGCGGCGAAGGCGCAAGTAGTCTGCGAACCCAGGGGAATATTGCGGGCGCACGGCTGAGCGCATCATGCATTGCCGCAGGTCACCACGTGCAAGCCTGTGCCCAACACCACCAGCCTGCGCAGATCACAGTCAGCGAGTGTCACCACGAAGATGAGATATCAGCTGTTGGACATCTCAGTTGTGCGGCTCTCTCCACCCTCTCTCCTCCATTCCCCCTCCTCCTCCTCCTCCTACTCCTCCTCCTCATTATCCTCCTCCTCCTTCTGCGAAGCTCGCGATCGCAAGCGAGCAGCGCAGCATACCTCCGAACACCACAGCGCGACTGCGACACCAAGCGGCGAGGGAAACCACACCCTGCCAGCACCACAATACCCTGACAGTGCCACGCGTACGCACACCTGCATGCCGTACGCTGCCAGCACTGCAAACGCTTGTGAACGCGACGATATCTGTGCACTTCAACAACAGATTGCGTTGCTGTCAAGAGTGCTACTAAGAGCCGATGGATTTGCGGAGTCCGCCACTGTGCCCGCTGGCACGTTGGGGCGTGCTACAATGCCATGTGCCGTCAGGTAGGGCCCCTGTACATTTCTAATGCCCCCCTGCCCAGTGGCATGCACCGCCCCCCCCCCCCCTCGATGCCACAATCCCTTGCAAAATGCGACAGAGTCGAGCTCCCGATGCCCAGATGCCTCCAGGACGGCCCCAGATAGCTCCAAAGCGGGCCACTTTGGCCCCAAGACGGCCCAATCTGGCTTCAAGGCGGACAACCAGGCCTTCGAGGCGTCCCAAGAGAGCCCCAAGAGTCTTCGTAAGAGGGCCCTGAGATGCATAAACCAGTGATTGTCTCTTGGTTTTTTGTTTTTTCGAGTGCTCGCCTTTTCGAGCTTCCGACGTCCCGAGGCGACCCACGAGGCCACCAAGACAACCCCAAGAGGGCTCCAGCAAGCACGGCCCAAAAGGCGCCCAAGAGGACGTCATCAAAAGCCCCAGAGAGTGAATACGAACCGACAATTCGAGCCCTCCTCCCTCAGAGGACTCCAGAGGTCCCAAGAGGGTCAAACGAGTTCCCCAAGAGCGCCCCGAGAGGCAAACACATTGTGTTTCCAGAGGTTTCTTTTAATGTTTGTTGTGGCCTCGCCTTTTCGAGCTCCCGACGCTCCAATACGGCCCAAAAGGCCCCCATGACTCCCCCGAGACGGCTCAAGCGGCCCCATAGAGAGCTCCAACACGGCCCAAGAGGGCTACACGACGGCCTCACGAAGGGCCCCGAACCAAGAATTCGAGCCTTCTGCCCCAAGAGACCCCTGGTAAATCCCTTAAAATTCTCGAATAGGCGCCACCCCAGAATGCTGCGCTGGCACGGTGGCGGAATTGCCAGAAGCAGCTGGACAGCGTAAGCTTTTGAAAGCTGTGGGAAATCCTAGTAGGGCCATATAAAAGGTTCTGAAGCTTTCCTCGCCATCGCTCGGGCGTCCATTCCCCTTGCATTTTTTCGGCGTCGTGCGGTTGCTATATCTCGCAATGCTCCTTGATTGACCTCGCCAAGACAAATGCGCACGTCCGAGCGATGCCAAGTTTCTAATAGGATGCCATGGGAACTGCAGAAGATCCCAGCATGATCGCATGGGAGCTCTGGTGAATGTACACCACCGTAGCCTGCGAACGCCACATCATGCCTGTGAACGGCTCTCGGGCGTTCCCGTGACGTGGGGGCAAAGAGGTATGTGGCAACATGGGTCATGCCTGGAAAGAAAACATAAACATCCACAGGAAACATAATCGAGCCAAACACCTTTGGAGTTCCCGGGAGAGCCTTACACGTTGAGGGCCATCGCCGAACCAGTCCTTGGGCAGGCCCCCGCCATGCCACTGCCGATTCCGATCTGCTACCCCCCCTTCGAGGTTCTGGTGGATCGAAACGGAATTCAAACGAACATATGACACTGGAGTAGATCGCAATCGGTGAGTGCGCAGCGTATGGGGTGCAATCTGCAAGTTGCAATATATGGATTGCGACCTGTGCCCCGACATCTGTGGGGTGCGATTTGGGGGACCCTGGCGCTAGGGAATCGATCGTACGCGATCGTAACTTCGAGCGTCGAGCACCACGGTTACTCCTGGCGCCCATGTACAATTCACCTGGACACATGTGGGTAATTCAATCCATCGCGAATCCCAATTAGTAAATCATTGAACTGTGGATGTGCATCTGTGTGGTGCAATCTGTGTGGTGTACGCTGCGGGGTGCAGTGTACGCGATGCAAGCTAGAGGCGGCGACGAAACGGCAACGGGCATCAACGTGGCGAAGCCTCGACGGACCCACTGCGCGAACGAGGCGGCAACGAGGCGGCAACGGGCGGCGACGTGGCGAAACATCACCAGACACGAGCCACCCCGCGCACGAGGCGGCAACGAGGCGGCAACGGGCGGGAACTTGGCGAAGCCTAGCCAAAGCCGCCCAGCGCACGAGGCGGCAACGAAGCGGCAAACGGGCAAAAAAGTGGCGAGTCCCCGCCGGACCCACCCAGTGCACGAGGCGCCAACGAGGCGGCAACGGGCGACAACGAAGCGGCGAACGGGCGGCAACGTGGTGCAACCCCGCCAGACCCATCCAGCGCACGAGGCGGCAACGAGGCGGCAACGTGGCGAAACATCACCAGGCCCACCTAACGCACGAGACGGCAACAAGGCGGCAATCAGGCGGCAATGTGGCGAAACATCGCTGGACCCATCCAGCACACGAGGCCCAGGCGGCAACGAGGCGGCAAACAAGCGGCAACGGACGTCAACGTGACGGAATCTCGCCCGACCTACCCAGCGCACGAGGCAGTCACTGGCGACAACGTGGTTCAACCTCGCCGGACCCATCATACTCGAGCTAGCACGCGAGAACCCTAGCGGTCGGGTCGGGTCGGGCGGGCGGACCCTAATGGGCGGGTCGGGTCGGGCGGACGGGAGGGTCAGGCTGGGCGGACCCTAACCGGCGGGTCGAGTCGGGCGGACAGGCGGGTTGGACCGGGCGGACCATGACGGGCGGGTCGGGTCGGGCTTTCTACACCACAAAAGAAGCCCTAAATGCTAACACTGTTCGGGGGATTTCTGAAGCATCGCAGAACCGCGTACCGAGCGCCACTTCCCGTTGCCCGAGACAAATCTAGCTACAGCAAGTAAAACAACCAAGCGCGAGCCCCGACTGTGGATCACGCGTATCGTAGCCTGACACGGCCGACTACGTCAAGTCACTCACTCTGTCATATCCAGGAAAGCTCACTGGCCCTGCCCCGCGTCTTCCTCATCATCATGGCCACCATCGTCATAATCATTGCCACTATCGCCAAACGCACTCCAACGTATCATGCCAGCTGCAAACTCAAATGCTGCACACAGAGGCACGAACGCATTCAGAACGAATACCATCGCCGCGTAGCGGACACTGTGCGCATGGAATGCATGCTACGAGTGCTATCCACAGGCAATATGTAAATAACAATTCCACACTCTGGCAAAGCCTGGCCTTGATCGCACGGTAGAAGACACCACTGTTGAAATGGTCGTCTTGCACGAGATCCAGGAATCTCTGGGCGCCCTTCGGGGCCCACTCTGGGTGCACCTGCGCCGTCAAAAGAAACACCAACACCACCTAGGCACGTGCTTACCTCCGTGGGCAATGCAAACGCCTAGTCAAATCACACGGCATGGTCCTGCGACGCGTGCTTACGCAATCTTGGCGTAAATCCAACAGGAGATGGCGAGCGCGTGCCACCACGACTCCGATGCAACTCCAGAGAACGTCCCCCCCAGCGCCCTTTCCCACCTCCACCACTTCTCCATCACTCCCTACACCTCCTCCTCCTCCTCCTCCTCCTCCTCCTCCTCCTCCTCCTCCTCCTCCTCTTCCCCCGCACCCCTCTCCTCTACAATCTTCCGCCCTCCTGTTCACCCTCTTTCGGCGGTGGACAAACCTCCCTTTATTAAACCTCCCCTTAGTGAAAACGGCCTGGGACCGAAACCGACGGACCTGGACCCGCGAAAATGACGGCCGCGACGCCCCCTCGCGAACCGAAAACGGCCAATTCCTTAATCGACGTGTCAAGGTAGGAGGTCTATCCACCTCCGACTCTTCTCTCTTCTTCGAACGGCGCACGGAGATGGGATGGCAGAAAGAGAGAGGAGGGAGAAAGCGACAAGCCGAGACGACGAATCTGATTGCACTTCTGGTGTCGGAGTGTGCTCCGTGAGCAGTTCCTGGCCCAGTGGAGCACGTAGCCGGGGCGACTGCACGGTTCCTAGACGTGTCGGGTCGGGCTGAACCGCAATGCAAGAGGAAATGTTGAAATGCCGGGCGACAGGAGAACTAGGAGGACGAGTAGGAGACAATGAGGAGGGACGGGGATAACCAGGAGGACGAGAATGAGGAGCATGATGAGGAGGGCGAGGAGAAAGAGGAGAACAAACATACAAAACATGAAGACCAGGAGGAGGAGCAGAAGGAGGAGGAGGACGACGACAGAGGAAACGAATACAACGGTGACGACAACGATGACGACCAGGGTGGATGCCGATCAGGAGCAGGGAAACGACGATGATTCGGATGACCCGCGAGCAATTTTCAGAATCACCCTGGCTCTAAAAGCGCTGTTCTGGGATGCTGGGCTCCGGCTATGGCATTTCAATGTGTATTAGGAGTTGCTTCGGCGTGGGAGACATCTGTCTGATTCCGTCGCCCTGCTTCGCACCAACCTCCGGATGGCCGCACAAGCATAAGGACAGGGATACAGCTAGCGCGTGTTGTTGGCAGAAGCGGGCAGGCCGGGGTACCCGACGGCCTGGCCTCCTCCGCGCCCGGCGATCACAGACTCGGTGTTGGGCGTGGCTTCATGGGGGGGGTCATAAATGGGGGGGTCAGAAACGATCCCCTTTCGGCCCCCCCCCGGCCCCCGGGGGCTCGTTTAGGTACCGTTTGGGTACAGCTTCGTACCACCCTCGCCACCCCCCCCATTTATGACCCCCCCATTACGCAACGCCCAACGATGACCCGAGGGACATCCGCCGGGTGACAGTCGGTGACAGGTCTGGTGCGATTTTTTCCCACCCTCCTTGGATGGGTATTCGTTTTGAATAGAGCACTGTGGTCGCGTCCCTTCTCCTTCTCCTCCTCCTCCTCCTCCTCCTCCTCCTCCTCCTCCTTCCCGCCTCCCGTCTCCTCTCGCCACCTGCCCTCTCTTCGCCGTCGATCTGCGAAACTCTCGCCACTTTCGCGATTTTTTCATGTCGGCTGCGCAATTCGGAGAACCAAGCGGGTCACCGCCGAAGCGGGCGGGACGCCGCCACCCGATCGGCACCTGCGGTCCCTTACCCTCTGCGGCGAGCGAGGGGGGGAAGTGAGAAAGAGGAGGTCTTCTCAGAGGGCTCGGAAGCCCCCTGGCCTCCTGAGAAGCTTTCGAAGCCTTCCCCGAGGACGCAAGAAACCTCTCGGCGAGCGAGGGGGGGAAGTGAGAAAGAGAATGCCCTCTCAGGAGGCTCGGAAGCCCCCTGGCCTCCTGAGAAGTGTTCGAAGCCTTCCCCGAGAACGCAAGAAACCTCTTGGGAGGAGCGAGGGTTTCTGAGAAGTCCCGCTGTCTTCTGAGAATACAGGGGCCCTGGGACACACAACGAAATAGACACAAATAACAGGATTCCCCGTATTTTCCAATATTTTCGGGGTGTTCGTCTTCCCCTTCACTTCCCTTAGTTTCCCATATTTTCCTGGGCGCCGACGATGAATTGTGTCTGTGTGTTTCTTTTCCTCCTGGGAGAAGGCCTTCTCCTTCTCACTCGGGAGCGGCCAAGAGGGGGGTGTCCAAGACGGGGGGGTGCAAATCAGGACCAGCGGCATGTGCGCGGCCAAGCGGGGGGGGCCAGGGACGCAATGAAATAAGAAGAGGCGCCACGAAATCTGAGGAAAAATCATGGCCCGCGCCATGAAATCCACCCCCCCCTAGCCATCACCCCCCTCTTTTCCGCCCCCGACTCACTTCCCCCCCTCGCTCGCCGCCGATGCACGGCCCAAAAGGATCGACCTCGCGGGATACCCGCCCATCACCATCCGCTGCTGCGCTGAGCCTGCCTGCCCCGCGCGACACCTGCGCCTCTTCCCCTGGTTGATCTTATGTCGGGCGTGTCCCCCTACAGGGGGATTTTCGACGAAAAATAAATAAACACACCAAACATACACCAAAAAGGCAGACAAATGTTCAAAAACATGTCCCCAGACTATGTTTGGACAATTTTTTTATTATTTTAGGGGTATCTTTTATTTTTCGTCGAAAAGCCCCCTGTAGGGGGATAGGCCCGACATAAGGTTGCTCGTTGGCTCGACTCTGGGCCCGCTCGGCGTCCGAGCGCGCTTGGTCGCCGAGCGGGCTCGAGATTTAAGTCGGGCCTTGTCCTCTGCAGGAGGCACATCCCCCAAAATAGTCACAGCAACAAAAATCAGGGGACTACCTTTTCGAGTATTTTTGAATAGTTGGGGATATGTTGAATGTCTTTATTTTTCGTCTGCCATCAGCCGACCTAACTCAAGGTCGAGCCCGTTCGTCTGCCGAGAGGGGAGCAGAAGTCCCACCGCCAGGCCGACATCGAGACCGCTCGGCTGCCCCGTCTGCGGCAGAGGTGGACTCGGGCGCCGAAGGGGGGGGCTCAGAGTGCGCTCGGGGGATACGGTCAGGGATCCCAGCCCACCATACATCCGCAGGATCGCAACGATGACGAGGCTTCCCCCACCTGCAGAGTCAGCCCTCGGTCAGTGCCTACACCCGGGCTGAGACAGCGATGAACGAGAAAGGGGGAGTGAGAAGAAGAGGCGTGGGCACACGCAGAAGGTAACTACCTACCAGACCACCCCAACCCAACCCGAAGACCCGAATTTCGTCCGAATTTCGGGTTGGGGGGGGGGGTACGAATTCACATGTGTTTGTTCAATGTTTCCCGACCCCCCCCCCACCGGAAATGGGGTGATTTGGTGGGCGGTGAGAAGGGGGCGGCCAAGACGGGGGCGTCCAAGAGGGGGAGCGCAAATCATGGCCGGCGGCATGTGCGCGGCCCAGGGGGGGGGCTGGGGACGCAACGAAATAAGACGAGGCGCCATGAGATCTGAGGAAACATCGTGGCCCACGCCGTGATCATCCCCCCCCCCCTGGCCATCCCCCCCCCTCTCTGCCGCCCCCGAGCTCCGAAAGGGGGGAAGCTCGGGGCAGGCGAGCGGAGACACCTCCACCACGAAGCTCTTGGTGGCGTCGTCCTTGATCCCCTTGATCTCAAACTTCACCTTGGTGGTCATGCCGCGGCCTGGCGCGCGCGCGGCGCCGCCCCTCCGGGGCCCGGCCGCGCGCGCCGCCCCGCCGCACCGCCTCGCCGCGCCGAGCGGCGGCCCTCGCGGGGCCGCCGCGGAGACTGGCAGTCCCGTGGCCGCCTCGACCCCCCACTCCTCCGTCCCCTCCTCCAGCGTATCCGCTCTCGGCAATAAGTACAGTCGGGGCGTTGACCGAAGGAACCCTAAATAAGGAACGAGGCCCCTTTTTTCCATGAGTTAACCTTCGATTTCCCGTCGAAAACATAAGGAACACCTGAGGCAAGCTGTGAAAAACTTAAGGAACGCGGAGCCCCTCCCCAACCAAAAGGGTTCCTTCTTCAGGGCCCCGACTGTATGCCAAGAGATTCTAGCCAGGCAGGAATAACCAACTGTGCAATCACAGCTTCGGGGCTCGGTAACTTCATCATGCTGAGCCCAGGCTGCTCGGGTGAAGCCAACACTTGGCCAGCCCGCAGGGAGCAGTTACTCGCCTGCTGATTGTGCGGCCTTGGTCCAGCATATCCGCTCAAAACCAGTGCCCAGAAATCCGGCCCCTGGTCCCGTGCTGGTCAATCCCATCAGCTCTTGGGGCGCAGGTGGTCTAACGACACCTTCCCTTCATCTTCCCAGGCCCTCTTCCCTCTCGGGGAGGGGTGCCCTCACTCTCCCCTCTCTGAGGTTTTTCTGGGGGAGCGCGATGTGGCAGGGGGTCCTTTGTCGCCCAAGATGGCCCCACGAGGGCCTCCGATGCTCCAAGATGACCCCCAAGGCGGCTCAAGATAGCCGAAGATGGTTGAAACTAGCTTCCGACACATCTCCAAGAGGCCCGACGAGGGCCACAAGACTGATCCGAATGCACTGAGCCCCCTCGGGCCCCCCCCCAAGCTGCCCAAATCAGACAAAACCTATGGAAAATCAGTGTGGGTAGCCTTCTCGCCTTATCGCTGCCGATGCGCCTGTGAGGCCTCCAGATGGCCCCAAGGTGGCACAAGAGTCCCAAGAGGGGCCCAACAGGCCGCCCAGACGGCCCCAAGAGCGCCCCAAGAGGCGACTTCTAAGGGCCCCAGAGGGGGGACCTGGATAAAGACCCCTCCCCGTTTCTCATCGGTGGCCTACAAGATGGCCCCAAGAGGCCTCACAGGGCTCCGAGGATGGCCACGAGAGGGCGGCCCAAGAGCGCCCTTGGAGCGTCCCACGAGGGCCCCAAAAGGCGGTTTGCCTCCTCCTCCTCCTCCTCCTCCTCCGCCGCCTCCGCCTCCTCCTCCTCCTCCTCCGCCGCCTCCGCCTCCGCCTCCGCCTCCTCCTCCTCCTCCTCCTCCTCCTCCTTTTCCTCCTCCTCCTCCTCCTCCTCCTCCTCTTCCTCCTCCTCCCCTCGCCCCCACACGGGCCCCAGAAATGGCCCGAAGATGCCCTCCAAGGCCACCCCCTTGCTCCCAGAGATCTCTCTGTTCATCCTGGTTGCCCGCTCTGTTTCACTGTATGCGCCTCGTCCCTTTTCGCATCAGTTCTCATGGGCAGGGTTTCTGAACGGGCTGCTGGGGATACCCGAAGCGCGAAGAATTTGATTGACGGACCATGGACCTGAAACGCCCCTCGAATGGCAAAATGGGCAGAAGACCTCATATCTGGGGCGGCGCTGGGGGTGTCCCGCGGGGGTCCGATTCAGGAAATCCGCGCGGACTCTGGAAGTATGCCTGTGAAATTGTCTCACCTTCGACCCCCCTCCCTCCCAGCCCTCCCAGCCCGCCATTTGCCTGCAGAGTGTACCAGGTGGACTCGCAAAGGCCACGGCAATCCCGCCAAGATCGACATGGCGGGTTCCCACATGCGACATGGACCGCCTGCTCCCGTATCAGAGGCGCGCCATGCGAGCACTGCCGCGCACGCGAGCCAATCCTCTGCGGCAGCCAGCTGGATCGAGCGGCTGCAGGCGACGCACCCTGGCACGCACAACTGCTACTCTGACTGAGGTCGGGCATGTCCTCCTACAGGCGGATTTTGGACGAAAAATACAGAAAGTACCCCAAAAGCACTCCAAAAGAATCAAAAATGCTAGAAGCATCGTCCCCAGACTATGCATTGACTATGTCTGCACATTCCTCCTGCAGAGGGACACGCCCCACCGAATGCTGCTCCTGCTGCCCCCCTGCCCTCCCAGCCCTCCTTCGCGCCCAGGCCAGCCCTTTATCGGGTCCGGCGAAAGGGGGGATAGCAAAGGGGGGTGTTGAGAATCAGCTCACGTAGCTGATTTTCTCCGCGCCTCCCGGCGCCGGGGGCGGCCATGTATCGAGGAATGGGCCCCTCGGTGAGGCCGAAACCAGCTGCATGCAGCAAATTTCGTACCCCCCCCCTTCCCGATCCCCCCCTTCCCAGAGATCCGATGTCGTGAGTTTTTCAATACGGGGTCCCCGGAAGTCTCGACCCATTCATCAGGACCGGCTTTTCATCCTGAGTCGTTTTTTGACGGTCCTGGGGCCCGGCGAGGGCCGCCAGAAGCCGAAAATCGGGAAAAACCTCCGTCTTGCTTTTGTTCAATACTTCGTCCGGCCCGACTTTAGCCCGCTGCCCCCCCCCCCCCCGCCCGCCTCGCCGCGGGCAGAGGGCGGGGGCGAAAGAGCCCGAGGCTGCGCGGCGCGGGGCGGCCGGTGCGCGTGGCTCTCGGGCCAGCGGGCATCGACGGTGGCGCTCGGGCGCGGGGCGGCGAGCGCGGAGGGGGCAAAGCCGCAGGACGACAGCAGCGGCACTGCTGCACCTATGCTCGGCGACACGCAGGAGTGGCCCATGCACGGGTTCCCCCGGGGCCGTGGGCGACCCGAGGAGGAGGGAGGAGGAGGAGGAGGAGGAGGAGGAGGAGGAGGAGGAGGAAGAGGAGGAGGAGGCGGCGGAGGCGGAGGCGGAGGAGGAGGAGGAGGAGGAGGAGGAGGAGGAGGAGGAGGAGGAGGAGGAGGAGGAGGAGACGGAGGAGGCGGAGGAGGAGGAGGACGAGGAGGAGGGGGAGGAGGTAGAGGGACAGGCCCGACGTAAGGTCGACCGTTGCTGCGAGGGCGGGCTAGGTGCGCCGAGCCCTCCCAGCGGCCTCGCATCACGAACGGCGCTGTCCGCACTCCTCGGTCGGTCAGCTCGGCGCGCGGCGTCGCACCGAATCGTCGGCGGCAGCTCGAGCTAGATCGACCCGTGCAGCCGGGGCGAGGACGATGAGGGGGAGCAGAGGCAGGAGGGACGAGGGAGGAGGAAGGACGCAAAGGCGAAGAGGAAGGGGAGCAACAGAAGGCGGATGATGAAAGAAGAGGGGATGGCCATGGGGTGGATGAAGAAAACGAGGACGGGGCGAATAATAGGACAAATCCCCAACTGTCCACGTCGTGGGCTTGGAGATTCCTGTGCCTACCATGCAAGTCTCATGACAGAAACGCTGCCTCGCGACAAAGTGAACAAATGAGCAGCCACGCCGGACTCTGCCATGAAGCCCCAAAAAAGAGAAGCTGGCAGTGCCGGTCGACGACTCTTAAACACTGTACTTTTGTCTCTCGCGTGCATCCAGCAACCTGTACCTCCAGTCTGTCTCGATGTGGGCGGCGATTGTGTGGAAAAGGAGCCGCCTCTTCTATGGACATGCCGAGGGGGGGCGGGGTGCAAAGTGGGGCTGAAGCGAAAAGGTCGTCGGACACCTGGTGCCCCCTGTGCTGGTAGAGGCCTCCTAGATGTGGTCCGAGTATATGGGGTCGAAGGATCGCGCCGTACGATGCATCGCCGATGCATCGGCGACGTCGGCGATGCATCGGCGACGTCGGCGTGGGGAAACAAGGTCTCCACATCGAGTCGCATCGTCGACGCATCGGTGATGCGGCGCGATCCTCCGACCTAGCCTATCTACTCCGACCCCATCTACAGTCGAGCATTTGCTTAAAAAACCTTCTCTCGGAAAGCTGGGCGGGCCAGCGTTTCTTAGCCAACTTGCCCGAAACCTGGCTCAGTCTCTTGAGCGCGTTCGCCCCTCCAGCGTTGACACAATAACTCGGCCAGGCTTGTCTTGAGAAATTTCCGGGAAGCTGGCCCAGGTGTCTGGAGTGATGACTTCCTTGGTCATTTTTTCGGCTGTCGGAGGCCTGGAGCTGGGCCCCGGGAGGGCCCACGTCCGGGGAGCGCCCGCCTGGCGAAGGGCGCCGGGCCCACGGGACTCTTGGGTTAGGTCGGGCGTGTCCTCCTACAGGCGGATCTTGGACGAAAGATAAGACACACATACCCCGAGCAGATTTCAAAAGTTGGGGAAGAAATCGTCCCCCGAGCATTTGCTGACTCTGCTTGGCGAGTCCTCCTGCAGGGGGAGAGGCCCGACGAAACTCCTGGGCCCCCGCGGCGCGGCGAGGCCCCGCCGCCTGCGGCCGCGCGGGCGCCGGGAGGCTCTCACGCGCCGCCTCGGCCGGCAGGCGGGGGAGCGGGGCGGGAGCGGCGGGGGGGGGCCTCGGCCGGCTGCCCTGCGAATGATGGGAAACGTGAGTTTCCTTCAAAAAAACAGCGCTCGATGAGCCACAATCGCGCTTCCCATAATTTTGTTTAATTATGGGAAACGCAATCCCGGACGACTGCCCCTCGGCTCAGGGGGGGGGGGGCCGGCTCGGGGGGGGGGACCAGCTCAGGGTGGGGGGGAGCGTGGGGGGCGGACGTCATTTCCTACTGCTCTGTCGTGTTTCATCGATCTGTTTGCACATGCGGCATTTCAGCGCGAAGCTGGTACCTTTGGAGGTACACCAATGCTCGCTTGACAAAAACATGATCGATCCACGAAGCCGGAAAGGGATTTAGACTTGCAAGGCATGGAAACGTTTCTAAGGACCTCAATTGGGCGATGGGCAGTGGCAATGCTGAATATATCGATGGTCATGATACCGTGCCAGGGGCTGTGTTGTGCTGCGCTGTGACGTGCCGCACAGTGACGTGCCATGGGACGCGCATCTGAACATGCCACGGGACGCGCCGCGGGACATGCCAGCGGGACGCGCCGCGGGACGTCCCAAGGGACGCGCCAGAGGACGTACCAGAGGACGTACCATGGGGACGCACCGCGGGACGTGCCAAGAGGATGCGCCACGGAACGTGCCAGTGAACGTGCCAGGGGACGCGCCGCGCGAGGTGCCAGGGGGACGCTCCACAGGACGCGCCACGGAACGTGCCAGGGAACGTGCCAGGCGACGCGCCAGGGGACTTGCCAGGTGACGCGTCAGGGAACCTGCCACGGGACGCGGCACGGAACGCGCCGAAGACGCGCCAAACGACGCGCCGCGGATCTTCTCAAACCTCCCAGGATCTCCGCGCCCCGCTATTCATCGAGATGTCCAGGGCCACGCGATCCCTCGTAAATTACGCTGCGTCTGTGCTCCCCGGGCTGCGATCCACGGACAGTTCCGCTGTGCCCGCGCTCCCAATGTCACGACCACCAGTGAGTGATGATGCGTCCGCCTCCCCAAGACCAGGACCCTGCCGAGCCCCAGGACCCCCGAGAACTCAGAGATCCCAAGGACGGGAGACCGAAAGAGAGATCCCGGGGAGCCCAAGCTGGGGGCCGCGAGTGCCATCGGCTCTCACGCGCAAACACAGGCAGGGAGGACAGAGGAATGAGTAGGGAAGAGGGAGGAGGGAGAAGCGAGGATTTTTTGGTCTGCGGGTCGGGAGCGGGCCCCTTCCGGTCAAGAGCTAAACGGGACGCGGGTAGCCCTAATTGGGGAGACAGGGCGCGGGCGGGCGGGGCCTCAGGCGGCCGGAGGGCTCAGAATACAGGCGGTGCCGAAGATCTTTCACAGGACGAGAAGTGAGGATACATGCGGAAGGAAGGATGAGAAACGACTCAGGCAGGGGCGGTTGGAGGCAGGATGAACGGAGGAAGGCAAAGGAGGCAGGCGGGATCGCATAGCGTCCACCAGCCCATTTCGGCATACCCTTCACACGGATCGTGCCCCCCAGGGAGCGCAACCTACGGCCCCAGGACAAACGCCAAGTTCACACAGCGTCAACCGGCCAATTGCGGGACGCCCCTCTCACTGATCGTACCCCTCTGGGAGCTCCACTCACGGTGTCAGAGTCACACGTCGCTAGGCGCCCCCCCCCCATGTCGCCACACCCTTCACACGGAACGTGCCCCACCGAGAGGTCCACGTACGGCACCCCTGGAAGGATTCGCCTAGCGCCCCCCCGCATGTGCCGACTCACCCCTCAAGCGGATCGTGTCCCGCTGGGAGCTTCCACGACAGCCCCAGAGTCAAGGTTCGCATCCGCCCCACCCCTAGCGGCACACCCCTGACATGGATCGGGGCCCAGAGGGAGCTGCACCTACGGCCCCAGAGAGAAGGTTCACATGGCAGCCACGCCCATTTCGGCACACCCCTCACACGGATCGCGCTCCATAGCGAGCCCAACCGACGGCTCCAACAGGAGGGGCCGCATGGCGTCCCTCCGCATACTTCGGCAAATTACGAATAGATGCTGTCTTCCACATCGGGCTCCACAAGGAGCTTCACCTACGGCCTCAGTGGGCGCACTCGCGCAGGGCCCACCCCCCTCATGCGGATCGCGCCCCACAAGGAGCGCAGCGTGCCTTCGCGCGCTAGCTCTGCAGCGGCCTCCAATCCAGAGCCGCGCCCTGCGCCACACGCAGCTGCAGAAGGTTGGGCCCTTCGCCAGGCCAAATGATTTCTGTTTCGTCGTGCATGCGCACATAAGCGAACACGTACATACACACGTGCATGCATGCGTACATGCGTACGTACGTACATGCACATGCATACACATAGAAGCCAAACCTGTGCCGATCAGGCGGTACCCCAGGAACGGGCCTGGGTTGTGAACCAGAGGCCTCTCGCACTTTTTGGGAATTCTCTCAGAGGCCCGCTTTGGGCCTCTTGGGGGTCTCCTGGGAACTTCCTGGGTGCCTCGTGGGGCCCCTTGGAAGCCTCTTGAGGGCCCCTTGGGGGGACCGCTCTCCTGGCCGCGTTTCGAGACCTCCAAAGGCGGGCCCGGCCCCCGGGCCCCACGTTTGTTGCACTGGTCGTGGCCCCAGGGCCCCTGGGCCAGGTCCCCCATTACATGTATATGACACGTGTAAAGATACACACGCAGATGTGCATGCATAGGTGGGGCGCACTACGAAACAACATATTTAGAGAGTGCACATCACAAGGAAAAACAAACAAGGAAAAACAAATGAAACGCGGGAGGAGGAACGGCAACATCGTGGCCCGACCCCCCCCCCTGCACAAAAAAACACGAACGCTGCCCAAACAACCCTGCCCTCGAGTCCCTGTCCTCGAGGCGAGGAAAGGCAGAAGCCGAGCGGCAAAACGCGCATGCAACTTTCAAATCGCGTGGTTCATCCTTGCGCAAATGCCCTGTTCATCGGGCGCGCGTCGTTCCATTCTGAGAAGGTCCAAGTGGAGGGGGATGCATGAGAGGAGGAGGGAGGAGGAGGGAGGAGGGGAGGAGGAGAGAGGAGGGGGGAGAGCGAGGAGGAGGAAGGCTGCTGCTGAACGTCGGCATGCGCGTGCGCGCGTGGCATGTGATGATTGCTGCGGGGGGGTTGTTTTGACACTCGCACTCCAGATGGCTCCCTCCACCACCTTGCTCGAGCAGTCAGCGCCATTGCGCCAACCGCACGACGGGCCCCTGGGCGAGGCTCTTCTCGCCCAAGAGGGCGGGCCAGGGCTAGGGCGTTGCCAAGCCTCGCCCACGCCTGTCGCAGCAGACAGGCAGAGCAAAAGGGTGACCTCGCCTCGGCGAGCGCCGCTTTGGGGAGGGGGCTTCGCGAATTCCTGTCGGAACGCCCGCTATGGCCCCCTCTCCTCACGGTTCGGCCCTCGGCTCAGACACCCCCAACAGGGCATCCGTCAGCTATGCAAGGCGAGCGCAGCTGTTGGGAAGGAGGGGGGGCGGGGCAACGGTCGAGGAGGACTGGCTGCCAAAACCAAAACCACCCCCGTGCCCCGACGCCCGCGGCAGAAAAGCGGCCCCCCTGTGCAACTGTCGCCGCAGAGGGAGAATTACATCCAGCGCCCCACGGCCGTGCAAACAGGGGGACACTGTCAACGCGCAGCAATGCAAAGGACGGCCACCCATATCGAACCCGCTGCGAGCGTCTAGCTACCGCGTCCAAGTGCACCCTGAGCGGCCCCCCGGAGCAGCCGTCACCGCGGGGGGGGGGGCTCCAGCGCCCCGCGGCCATGCAATCGGGGAGCGCTGGTATCGCGCAGCAATGAAAAGGACGGCCTCAAGGGGCCCTGCATCGAACCCGCCGCGCGCGCCACGCAATCGCCACCAAGCGAAAAAGGAGCGGCCCCCTGTGCAGCGGTCACTGCAGGGGGGAAATTACCTCCAGCGCCCCAGGGCCGCGCAACCAGGGGAGAGTGGACACGCATGCAGCAGTGAGAAGGACGGCCGCAGGGGCCCAGATCGAACCCACCGCGCAGGTCCAGAGACCGCGAGACAATTGCACAATGCACCCGATGGGGTGCTCCTACACATAAAAAGCATTACACTCGCGAGCGTCTTCAGTCCGAGTCAGACGAGCCCCCCCCCCGCTCCAGCCCCTCGCCGGCGTCGTCGGACAGATCCGAGGACGCGGGGTGCGAGGACTGGCCGTCCAGGCCGCGCCAGGAAGACCCGCGGGCGTCCAGCTGTCGCCCCCCCCCCCCCCGTGCCCCGTCGCGCGGCTAGCGGCGCGCGATGCGGCATGGGAGCTCTAGCGGCGAATCCCTCTCTTTGTCCAAAAGATCCGCCGCCCCCCAAGGGGGGGAGAAGGTCGACAGTGAGATCATTGAGTTTCGGGTGCAGGCCTCGCTGAATGCGCATCCAACGGCGCAGCACCTTCCTGCATCCTCCCGAGCTCTTGTCCAGAGGGCAGCAGGGTGCCAGCAGATTGCGAAACTGCCCAAGAGTAGTGCGCATGCGATTTACAGCAGATGCAGACAACGAGGCTGCCGCCGCCCGAGCAGCCCAAGGAAGGCAAAGCATGACCCTACCGCGGAATACCCGCCAGATCTGTAGGAGGCTGGCCAGCGCAGCCTTCTTCCGAAGGTTTCGCCAAGGACCCTCGGAATCGCCGGCGCCGCTCGCATCTCCAAACCTCCCGGAACCAGGCCCATTGAGGCAGACGCCCCGCACCCTCTGCAGGTCTCGGGGTTGGTGGGGGGCGGGGGGGCGCATTCGCAATCGGCAATATCAAGCCTGGGCCAGAGTGGGGGGGGCTCCAGCCAGGCGGCGCAATCTTGCTGATCGCAAACGGATCATCCAAGGCTTGAGCCTTAGCTGGGGATGGCCTGGGATGCAAGGCAACACCTCCCTTCGCTGCCCTATCAGCCTCAACATTCCCGCGCGGGCGGAACATGTGCTCTGCCGACACCTGGCCATGTTCAACCTGACGGGCCTTGACCTTCTCTACTGACTGCCAAAAACGATTCCTACCATTAAGCGCCATCCCCGCACGCGGCCGACGATGGGGCAACTGCGTGGAAATCGGGGCCGCACACGCCTTCACAACATTGGCGCCGCCAGAGCATCCTTCACTTGGGCCGTCTATGGAGAGGCCGCTGGCCGAGTGCGCTGCATATTCGCCAGCCTGCGACGACTGGGGATAAAGGGGCCAGGACAGGGCCCCAAGCAGTGCAAGTCCCATTGCAGATGGCGCCCTGGGCTTGAAACCCCCAACCAGCCCGAGAGATCCCCCGAATAACGCGCCTGTGCGCAGACCCGTCCAGGAACAGATGACCGTGGATGGCAGTCGGAGCCTGGTCATCATTGCGCCAAGTGACTTCGACACCCCCACTACAGACAGGCCTGGGCCAAGCATCTCCTTGATGCTGAAAGATGCGCCGAGACCAAAGGAGCATCTGCATGGGGTCGGACAGATCGGCGTTAGCCAAAAAAGAGCCGACTTTCCCAGGAACAATGCGGCCGCGCTCTTCAGCGCACTGTTCGCATCGCCAACGCCCATGGATGGGCGAGTCATCGCAGGCCTGGCAGAGCTCACACACCACACTCGGTGATATCCAAGGGAACCCGCGCGATCTTTGGCCCAGAGTCCCCCGCGAGCCAGATTCCTGATCGAGCCGCGCGCTATGGGGGAATGCCCGCTTCTCTCAACTTGTCTCCGCACCCCTCATGCCGCAGCTTTTTCACGACCCCAGGACCAAAGACCGTCGAACAAATCTCCCTTCCGAAATCGCGAGCGAATGCCAATCTTTCATGGGCCACCCCATGCGCTTGAGGGAAAACCGCGTAGCCCCAAGGGGGCCCTTCACTTTTTCCCACGTTGGTTCGACCGAGCCCCCCCAAAAAAAACAGCCTCCCAATAATCTCCAAGTCCCAGGAAAGTGAGGGGGTACCTGAAAAGACGAATTTGATTCGCAGTGACCTTTCTGCCGCGCCGGAGGATCGGCGCCGCGGCCGCGAAACAAATTGGATCAGACTCGGGGCGCAGCAGGCGTGAAAGGGACCGTTGCCCAGAGGAAGGCTTCAAAGCCGCGCCCGTGGCCTGGCGGAAAGAACGAAGTTCGTTGTCGAAGGCGCCATGCACCTCTAGGCCAAAGGTGGAACCTGCCAAAGGTCCTGACACGAATCTGTTCCGAGAGTGTCCCCCGAGCATCCGAATCCGCGTCCTGGCCCTGGCAGCGCCTCTTGAGATTGACCTGCCTGGGCGAAAACTTGGGAATAACCCTCCACCCTTTCATCTCCCATCTGCATTTCCTCTGGATCCTTCTGCTCGTGCCCGCCGTGCAATCCACCCCCCAAGTCGCTAGCCATTCGAGGCTCCAATCGTCCGGGTCCTCCACCAGGTAACTTGCGCATCGTGTTGCCTGCATCTTGGGAAGAGGCCGCAATCGCAGCCTCCTGAGAGGAGATCGCGCACCGCGCGTCGTCCGCGATCACGCCGTGGAGGTCACGGGCAGCATCGACAACGACATCCAGAACGCAGGAACGGTTGGCTGCCATGCTTAGGCCGCAGCCATTGACGTAGACGTCGAGGCAACGGGAGGCGGACGGCGACATTCTATAAACACGAACGAAACTCGTGGCCATAGAACACCCTGCGATGACCCCACGCCCCACGCTTAGCGAATCCAGGCCCCACGACCATGCTAGAAAATGAAAGGAACCGAGGCCCTCTGTAGGCCTGAGTACACGAGGATGCGATCTGCGGGGGGGGGGGGGGGCTCCAACTGGCGAGATCTAGCCCGCAACTTATCATATCTAATCCCTCATGGAGCTTGTAAAGACCCCACAGGAGAGACGCCGCCTCCCGGCCGAGGCCAACCGCGCGCTCTGCGCGGGCCGCTTGACGCCACGCAACGTCAGCGGCGCCTGCTGAAGGCCCTGCAGAATGATATCCTCGGCCCTGCTGGTCTCCCCATCGAACCGCATGCGGTCGACGAAGACGGCCCCGCAGCAGATAGACGGATGAAAACAAGCCGATGGGCCTCCAGCCGCCCTTCTCCTGCTCGAGAAGGCTGATGAGCGCAGTGCGGATCCGGGGCGGGAGCAAAGACGTTGATTCCATGATGCACATGATAGACATGAGAACGTTGAGAGACGAATCGCTAGGGCTAGCATAGTGCCTCATGTGAAGCCCGTCAATGCTCGTCGCCGCCCCGACCACGTGGGGGCTGGAAATCGCCCTAATCGCAACTGGCCCTAAAACCGCAGGGGGTGGGCAATGTGGGAGATCACCCCCATCGTCTAGAAGCTCGTGAGTTGCCTGCCACAGACCCGAGTACCTAGCGATCTCGGTGGACAGAAGGCTCTCGCGGCCCGAAAGAACCTGGCCTGAGGAGGAGGGGGCGGTGGAAAGGGGGTCCACGCCTTCGGAGCTCTCGTGCGCCAATGAGCCATTGTTTCCCACCTCCGTCGATGCCGTCTAACAGACAAGAACTCCAAGACTTGGCAGCTTCAGCCTGGGAACTACTCGAGTACGACCCAAGAATCTCAGAGACCCCGTGCATCGAGTCAGCCCCCATCTGCTCGTCGAAGTACCCCCGCCCCCGATTAGCCCCATCCGGGAGATATCCATCAATGTCTTCAGAGATAGGTGGGGAGTCCTGGAAGGCCCGAACGTGCTGCTCCACCTGGGATCGGAAGCGCCAGCAGCGACTGGGCGATCAAGCCGACCTGCGTCAACTGGCCACTCCTAAGATACGAAAAAAAGAAGCGGAACGTGCCTTCCAGCCACCTCGCAGAAAACAGCTCTGGTTGACGGACGTTCCTCGTCCTGTCACGAGCCAGGATGGAGCGCCGCGCACGTTTTGGCTTCCCCCCTGCCCCCCATGATGGGCAGAGTGACTTGGCGCGAGGCCGCCAACTCAGCCTCCGACGTGTCAACCCAAAGCCTATGCAAAAGGTCCACGTGCTTCTGGATGGGCCGGCGACCCCGGCGCTCGCGAATTAAGCTCATGCCATGGCCCGCGCAATCCAGAAGGCTCGTTCAGGAGGGGGGGCAAGGATCAGGACCCATCGCAGCAGGGATGGGAATGGGGGGAGGGGGGGGGCAAAGACGAGACATTGCAGAGCCGCCAACTGCTGGCGAACTGCAATGCCACGAGCCTGTGCGGTTTCGCGCCGGCCGCCAGACCTGAGCTGCCCACGAAGAAGTCGAGTAGCCTGACGCCCTCAACGGAATTGTTGGTGCAGGTCTCCTGCGCCTCTGAAAAAATCAGCCTCGACTGGGTGCCAGCCGCGAAGTCGCACTCAGCTAACTCCTGCGGCCCCATGTCGAAGTCTCCTCCGACGACGAAGGAGTGCGCCTCATGACTCAGTGCAGCACCCAGCCGAGCAAGGGTACCTAAGTTAGCTTCTGAGAGCCCTTCCGGACCAGCTAACTACACAGACGACGCCAGCAATTCGAAAGAACCTGGGGCCTGGACCCAGACCAGCACAACGTGTCCTGGGACCAACTCAAAACCACCCCTAGGGTCGTGACACCCCAGGAACTCACGGGCCAGGGCCCCAACGCCGCCCGAAGGACCGCCAGTGGGACCCGTCAAAGCACGACCTAGACGAGAATGCCATCCATTTCGCCGAGCCCACGCCGAGGCCGCAGCTATAGCATCGTCGGAGATCAACGAATGCTCTTGAGTAAAACTTACGCCTGCAGAAGTGCGCAAAATCCATGTCTTCGCTGACCCCCACCCCAAAGCATTTACAATGCTGAGTTTGAGCTCAAGAGTTTTGGGACTGGCCTGGGACCCGAGGGCGCTCTCCGACTGATGCTGAAAGAAATCGAAGGGAAGGCGGCAACAACTAGGCACTGCATTGAAAGTGGGCGAAAGCCCCCGCGCAACTGATTGCCCCCCATACACGCTCAGGAGTCGCTCCGTGCTGCTCCGTCACCTGCAGGGGGGCTCCCTCCTTGCTGCTGCGCGTCCAGCTTTCGCAGGGCAGCGCGGGCTCGGGCTCGGATGTCTTGGCCAGCTCCTGCTGGCGCGCCTGAGCCTGCAGACGAGCTGGCGGCCGAACCCCCCGCGGGGGCCTGACCTGCCGAGCCACCGCCGTCGACGCACGCCTCTGGATCAGCAGCAGCACCCTCGTTATTACCATTTGTCCGCAATTGTTCGACGTGGGCCGAGTGGGATGCCTTGATGCTGTCAACCTTCCTCGATGATCTCGCCAAGGGCACGCTTGACCATATCCCCCAAGGCCTTGCTGAGCTGGGACTTCCTGCGTCAATCGCCTCAACGTCGGACGGCTCGACCTCATACTCATCATGGGAGAACTGCAGCAAGTCCCCGGCGTCAAAGTCGGTACAGGACAAGTTGCCACCCACCACGTCGCAGATGTTGATATTTGCTGTCGGCGGCCCCGCTGGCTTGTTGACCTGGTCATTGAGAGTCGCCACCAGCTGCTTGTGGGTGGCATCTGCCTCATCGAACTCCTTGTTGAAATCTCTGACCCCCTTCCTCTTTTCATCCAGCCACCATTCAACTTTGTCCAACTCTCCCATGTCCCGCGCCAACCGACGCTCCAGCTGCTGCACACGCCCTTGAGCCTCTTGGGCTCGACGGTTGAGCGGCTTATCAATAGGTGGACGAAGCTCCTGCTGCTTCCGACGCAACAAAATTCTGCAATGAGCAACCGCCTGCGAATCACCGTACTTATCACCAATAGCCACCAGATGCTCTAATCAAGGGATGTCATAGTCGGGTTCCGACGCTCCGCCGCCACCAGGCGTCGGCGCAGTCCAGACCCGACCTGGGGCGGCAACATGACCTTCATCAAGAGCACCGCGTGGACGTTTGCAGAGCTTGCAGTGGGTGCTGGAGCAAATGTCTATCTTGCACTTGCAGTCCGCAAAACCGCAGGTCCAGCGCTCCTCGCTGGCATGGTTGCGCCCACGACCGCCCCAGCCGCGGCCCCAACCCGAGGAACCCCCGTCGTAGTCAGGCACACCCCCACCAGCGGGCAGGGCGCCCACCACGAGGCCTGCTGCCGCGGCCAGGAAGAGACAAACCCTCCTCCTGTGCAGCCTGCGGCACATCTGCGGACTCATGCGTCTGGAAAGATCGTGAGCCTGTCTTGGCCCGCTGCCTCAATGTGCCTTTCTGAAATGTGAGACAGCAAACTCAGGGGCAAGCGGCGCGCCTTGAGCCAAAATGGCTACGGATTGCTGAGGAGGAGGAGAGGTGGGCGGAGGAGGGAGGAGGGAGGAGTAGGAGGGACGAGGGAGGAGGAAGGGAAGAGTGAGGATGGAGGAGGGGAGGAACGGGGGGGCGTCGGGCGCCGAGCGCCGCGCCTCCGGTCCGCGGCCCCAGCAGGATTGCGCCGGCGCCGCTGGGGAAGGGGGCGCGGAGAAACACGGATGGGGCGAGTCATAGACATCGGCACTTCGCTCCCTCCCCTCTCCCCTCTCCATCCTTCGTCATCCCCCCCTCGGTCTCCTCGACTTCCTCCTCCTCCTCCTCCTCCTCCTCGCCTTCCTCCTCATTTGCACACTGCTGCCCATCGCTTCGAACCGTCCCCTGACCCCGCGCGGGCGCCGCGGTGCCTGATCGCAGCCGAGAGCCCGCGCCCGGCGGCGGCCGATCGGAGAGGGGGGAAGAGAAATGAGGGTGGCACCGCCGTCTTCCGCCTCCTCCTCCTTCTCCTCCTCCTCCGCCATCCCTCGTCCTTGAAATTTGATCTTCCTCCGCGATTGTCGCGCCGCCAGACGTTCGGGTACTGCTGGAAGTAACCCTGGCCCAGGGTGCCCCCAGCTTCCCGCTCCATTTTGGAGTCCCTGGGGTCCTGTGGGCCTCGTGAGGGGTGCCCTGGAGGCCGCCCGGGGCACCCCGGGAATCCTGGGGGTGCCTTTGGCCAGGGGTACTTCCAGCAACACCCGAGACGTGGCGGTCGGGATGGAGCGGCCGCTTCGCCGGATGTGTTCTCACTGCGCTTGGGTGCTGTTTTCATCGTGACGCCTCCATCAGCGTCCTGGACTGGCGGAGGATGTGCTTTCGTTTTTTCCATAGTGGGACAGCGACGCGCGCACATTCGTCGTTAAACCCTCCAAACATTAGACGAATGGAGGGCACATGGTTCTCCATTGCGGCGCTCTTGACTGCACAGGGTGAAATCCTCATGATACGCACCTCTGTAATCGAAGGAGCCCTGCAGTGAGCACGCCCATGGGGAGGCATCGATCAGAGTGGGGCTGCCTTGCAATCGCCCAGGACTGTCTGTGACTACCTACAAGCCACCCCAACCCAAGCCGAAGACCCGCCCGGATTTCGGGAATGGGGGGGGGCACGGGCTTCATAATCATGTGTTTCTGTCCATGTTCCCCGACCCCCTCCCACACTGGGGATGGAGGACAAATTGGGGCCTTCGGGCTGGGTTGGGGTGGTTGGGTGGGTGGTGAGTTTGATGAGCGCCAATTTCGGCGGTGGACAAACCTCGCTGTAATAAACCTCTCTTGAATGAAAACGGCCTGGGAACGAAACTGACGGACCTGGACCCGCAAAATCGACGGCCGCGACGCCCTCTCGCGAACCGGGAACGGCCAGTTCGCGAATCGACGCGTCAGGGTGGGAGGTCTGCCCACCTCCGACAGTGGACGGGGCCGGGGCCGCGGACCTCCCGCGGGAGGAGGGCGACCACCTCGGCGCGAGAGAGCGGCGAGGGGGCGCCGGCCGCGAGAGGGGCCGCCGCCCAAGAGCGGCGGCGAGGTCCTGGCGCCCTCCCCCGCGGGGCTGTACTTCTCGAGCAGCTGCTCGACCCGGACGGCGCGCTCCTCGCTCGGGGCGGGCAGTGGCCCAGGGGCGAAGGGCACGCGACGTCTCTTCCCAGAGGGCAGGAAATCCTCCCCGAGAGTGACCACGCCGACACGCGAGGCCGTGTAGTAAAAGCACCCCAAGAAGGAATCGAGCAGGGCAGGGCTGTTTAGTAAACGCCCAGGGCCGTTTAGTAAATGCCAGTTGTCCGGTCCCACGTAGGTTTTCCTCCCTTGACTTCCCACCAGCCATCGGCCTTCGAAAAGCCTCCCGCAGCTCGCACAGCAACGGGCACCGCGAAACAGCTCGCCCTGCCCCTCAAAGCGTGAGACTCGGCCAGGACGTGAGGACGAAGAGCAAGGACGATGAGGACGAAGAGGAGAGAGAGAGAGAGAGAGTGGGCAGCGTGGTGGTTACGGGGCGACGATCGTGTCACATGCCCATGGCGTGAACGATCAGGGGCATTCAGCCCGACGTGACGTGGCCATCAAGTCCGATCGAGCCAAGTACTTGGCGGGATCACGCGGGAATTGGCCAGTCTAAGCGGAAATCGGCCGTTAGCCTGTCTTCGGGGAAATTGGCCTACGTGTCAATCGCGGGGTGGCATAGAAGTGCCGATGCTGCATTAAACATCACAGGGATTGCATCCGAACCCATGATGTCGCAGTCTGCCTACGCAGGCGCGGTTCCATGGATACGCTAAGCTGTCCTGCGTCCTTCCTTCAGAGGCGGGGAAATATCCAGATCCACCGCCTGGAAAACTGACGCGCTGCGACTCCAGCGGGCGGTGGATATGGATACACTTGGGCCCCAGGAGGCCGGAATATGTCTGCATCCACCGCCTGCCAGGGTCCCCGAAGACCGTTCCCCCGGGCGGTGGCGGTGGATAGATCCCCGCCTCGGGGTTCTGCCCTCCTTCCTTCCTTCCTTCCTTCCTTCCTTCCAAGCGCCAGCGTGGACGGGTCTCCGAGGGCGAGCGTCTACCGTCGGGGAGTTGACCTAACCCTAAATAAAGAACGAGGCCCCCTTTTCCCAAAAGTTTGACTTCGATCTCCCATGGAAAACCTAAGGACAACCCAAGGCAAGCTGTAAAACAATCAAGGAACACCGAGCCCCTCCCCAACCAACGACAAGGGTTCCTTCTTCAGCGCCTCGACTGTAGCACACAGGCCCCGACAGCAGGCCAGGTGGCGGAAAATCCCCGCCTCGGAGATCTGCCCTCCTTCCCTGAAGGAAGGCAGAAGGACTTCTGCCCTCCTTCCTTGGTGGATAGAACAGGGGAAACTTTTAAAAAGTACCGATGCTTTTTTAAACAAGTATCGATACCGCTACTTTCCGGACCTCTCCTGGAGTGCCTTCTGACCGGGATTCCGAGGTGAATCCAGCGGTGGCGACGCCGGAGGCCCAAGAGGCCCCAAAAAAGGAAACCGAGAGGAGGGTAGAGGTATGGGTACCTTTTCCTCCTCTGAAGGGCCCCGCGCTTGGAAGGACGAGGAAGCTCCTTCCCTTCTTCCTCTTCCCTCCAGGCGCCAGCGTGGACAGGCCTCCAAAAGGGCGAGCGGCCAGCACGCGGGCCACGACCGCAGGTGGCGCCCGCGCCAGCCACTGCCCCCCCCCCCCCCCGCCCTCGTCTCCAGTCGAAAGGGACGAGTCTCCGAGGCCAGGCCGCGCGGCTCGAGGAGTGCCCGGCCTCTGGGGGCCGTGGACACAGTCGGACCCGCAGTCATCGGCCTGACCCGAGGGACGATGGATCAGGAGCGAGGCCCCTTTGTTCCCCGAGGGAGAAAGCGCACAAGGAGGGAAAACGAATACAAAACGCATATCACGAACGATAGATGACGCACTCGAGCCGAAGGAACGACCGAGGAGTCGCGGCCTCGAGGCCGTGGACACAGTCGGACCTACAGCGGGGGCGCTGAAGAGGGAGCCCTTGTCGTTGGGGAGGGGCTCGGTGTTCCTTGATTGTTATGCAAGTTGCTTCAGGTTTCCCTCAGGTTTCCCATGGGCAATCGAATATTAACTTTTGGGAAACATGGGCCTCGTTCCCTATTCAAGGTTCCTTAGGTCAATGCCCCGACTGCAGGCCAGAAGAACATCCCTCGCGTACATGAGATCCTCCGTCGGCCAAAACAAACAGAACATCCAAGGGTCCCCTTCCTAGGCTGAAAAAAAAACACCCAACAAACTCGAAGAACACGAGGGCACCCTCCCCGAACGGACCTCAATCTTATACGTCGGTCCGACCGTATGGGCATGATCCCGGACCGCGACGAAGAGGAGCGGGGCGGCAGAGGAGAGGCTGAGCCTGAGCGATTGAACTACGCAGGCCGCCCGAAAAGAGGGCCCCGAAAAACGAAGACCATCGATGCTCCATGCATTCTTGGCGAACCTTGGTGTTTTCGCCTTTTTTGGGGCTTCCGGCGCTCAAATCGGGGGCGCGCAAACATGGATCTAGCGACCCATGGATTTGGCGCGCGGTCGCCAGATCCATGGATCGGGGAGGCGGCCCTCCCCAAAATGCGGCCGGCGCCGCCTCGTTCGGCGGCGGAAATCCGCGATTTCCTATGGAAACGGGACCCGTCGCTAATCCACGCCCCCTCAATTCATGTTTGCGATAGTGCCCCAAGATCAAGACCGCCAAAGAGGCCCCCAAGACGGCCTAAGACGGCCGCAAGAGAGATCCGACGCTTCGAGCCCTTCGCCCCGAGATGACACCCGAGACCGCCAGCATGCCCCCAAGAGGCCACCAAGAAGTTCCAGAAGGTCCCCAAGAGGCCCCAGTCAGGCCAAAGAGGCCCCAGGAGGCTTCTGACCTACACCCAGGCACGGTGTTGGGATGGGCCGAAGGCCACTATCTATATATACATATTCTCATACGCACCTCTCCGAGGGAAGAGAGCTCAGAGGCGATTAATGTGTACGCGGGGCGTTCGAGATTTTTCTGGCCGTTTCGCTACGGACATCCTCGGAATTCTGAAAATCGGTGGCACCCCTCACGCAGATCGTGACGTCAGGGTCCAAAAACACATCGGAATCTCAACATTGTAACATAAAACCTTCAAAAACACATGTTCATTTCAACAATGTTGACCCCGATTCTCAGAGAATGGCTGTTTCGTCTGAAACATCCTCCCAAAATCGAGCCCCGACCTCTGGTACCCCAGACCCCGCCTCGGAGCCTCCTGGGGGCCTCCTGGAACCTCCTGGGGCCTCCTGGGGCTTTCTGAACCTTCTGGTACCCCAGACCCCACCTCGGAGCCTCCTGGGGGTCTCCTGAAACCTCCTGGGGCCTCCTGGGGCCTCCTGCGGCCTCCTGGAGCCTCCTGGGGGCCTCCTGAAGCCTCCTGGGGTCTCCTGGGGCCTCCTGAGGCCGCCTGGGGTCTCCTGGGGCCTCAAAACCACATGCACACACAGAGACACAAATCACACCCAACACATCACACGCTAGACAAACATAACACACACACACACACACACACGCACACACACACACACACACACACACACACACACACGCACACGCGCACGCACACGCACACGCACACGCACACGCACACGCACACGCACACGCACACGCACACGCACACGCACACGCACACGCACACGCACACGCACGCGCACGCACGCACGCACGCACACACACGCACACACACACACACAACTCCTACAACGCACAACAAGCACGCACAACACAGAGCACACATCACACACACAACACTCACAATCCTGGGGCCTCCTGGAGCCTCTTCTGGTATCCAAGTCGGGCCTCCTGAGGCTTCCTGGGGGGCCCTGGTACACACATCGCAAAGTGTGGCAACCCCACTTGCGCTCGAGTGCGACCTGCTGTTGCATTTCACTCCTGCTTCAAACGCCCCTTCAGTTTTTTGTATGAGCCTGGGCACACACGTGCCACTTATGTGTATATATATATATATATGCAAGACTGCGTTGGCGCTTCGCGCCACGCACCTTGGTCATTGAAGTATGGCATGCAGGCGGAAGTCGCGGCGGAAGGGCAGGAAGGGGCAACATGGCCATAACTCCTCGTTGTCTTGTCCGATATCGTCATCAAAATAATGCCATTCGTTACCCTTCCCTAGTATGTCCTCTTCCCCTTCTTCGTTTTGAGGTCCACGAAGGAAGTGGTAACCGCCCCTAGTGGTGATCCCCCTTGGCACTGCCCGATCCTCCTACTCCCTCCTCCTCCTCATCCTCCTCCTCATCCTCCTCATCCTTCTCGAGGCCTCACCTTATCTGCGGCGCAAGCCCAATCACCTCCTCCTCCTCCTCCTCCTCCTCCTCCTCCTCCTCCTCCTCCTACTACCCACGTGCCTAGAGGGAACGCCGCGAAACTGGAATTCGGACATATTTAGTGGAAATGCTGGACGAGGGCGCCAATGCGGGGTCGTACGTCAACGGCCTCTTCGATGTGTTTGGGTGGGGAGGCGTCTCGGGGTCGTCGCGGAAACAATGTTGCTGGTTTTGGAGATAACTTGGAGATAACTTGGAGCATCCTTTGGTTTATTTTCGGTCTTATTGGGGACCTCGTGAACCCTGCTTGGGGCGTTTGGGCGCCTGTTGACAATTTCGTGGGTCCTTTAGGGCAGAAGAGCTCGCGCCTGGTGGCGGTCTGAAGGTCCGTCTTGTGGCCTTCTTCGGGGATCGGGGGGGCATTTTCGCACGTCTTGGAGCCTTCTTTGGCCGTCATGGGTTGTCCTGGGGCGATGTTTGGGGCCTCTGAGCTTCGCGGGGCGTCTGTAGCACGAAAAAATGAAAATGCCCAATGATGCAAACACTTATAAGAAACGTACAGATTTTGGATTTGGAGGCCCACTTGGAGGTTCCTCTTGGAGCTGTTTGGGGCGTTTGGAAGGTCTCTTGGGCCATCAGGAGGCCATGTTGGACCCTCTTGGGGCTGCCGCCGGCTCGTTTGCACGAGTTGGCAGGAACTCACGGAAGCACAGAAGTCTCGTGGGACCCTCGGCAGGGGCGTCCCGGAGCCCCAGAAGCCAGGGATTCTGGAAGGTCTGGACCAGGCGGGGGGGGGGAGTCTCACCCCCCCAGACTGTAAAAATATAGAAAAGGGAATGTATACACGTATCTGTACAGCGGGCAGCGTGGAGGATTTGAATCTAGCGTGCGACACATTATTCTGCTATTCCACTTGACAAGCAAGTAAGTAGCACCATCTCCGCAAGTGGGAAGATTTCGTAGTGCGGAAAACTCGCTGTCAGTACTATTGTACACCTAAACGTTAGACAACTCATCGTCGTCGTGGTCAACTCTGGCAGGGCCCCAGCAGCAATGGACGTCTGAAGTGCACAGACATGTTCCAATACCGTTGAAGATCCTTCAGGCTTGAGTCTTTTGTGTTATCGCTGTTTCCCCCTCCCTCCTCTTCGCCAGTCTCACGCGAAACTTTAACACGCCTTTGTTTTTAAGCGCTCCGTTGCCAGCGCAACCTCACGTCTGCCGACGCGTTCTTCCAGGTGCACGGCCTGCGAGAAGGCGATGAAGCATGTGGAGGACGAGGAGGAGGAGCGAAAGGGACGAGGGAAAGACTAGGAGCAGGGAGCCGCCCGATGATCTCCCGCCTGACTACACAACCAGACTGACACGAGGCAAGAGCGCCCCTTGATGCGCGGCCACGGCGGGGGGGCGCGGGGGGCCTAGACCCGAGCGCGTCCAGCCGCTGCTGTCGCACCACGGCCAGCGCCTGGAGAACCACAGCGGGCCCGCACTCAAGGAGAGGGGGAACGCAATCGGGTGCGAAAGGAGGGATAGTAAAGGTGGGAGAGCGAATCAGCTCGTGCAGCTGCCTTCCCCGGCGCACCCCAGCGCCGGAGCTGCGGGCAGCAGATTTCGCACTGATTACCCACTCCCCCTTTCCCGATCGGAAAGGGAACGTCCCGGGGGGGGAGTCCCAGGGGGGGGGAGAGAGGAGGGGAGGAGGAGGAGGGAGGAGGAGGAGGAGGAGGAGGAGGAGGAGGAGGAGGAGGAGGAGGAGGAGGAGGAGGAGGAGGAGGAGGAGGGAGGGAGGAGGAGGAGGAGAGGAGGAGGAGGAGAAGAGGAGGAGGAGGAGGAGGAGGAGGAGGAGGAGGAGGAGGGGGAGGAGGATGAGGAGGAGGAGGAGGAGGAGGAGGAGGAGGAGGAGGAGGAGGAGGAGGAGGAGGAGGAGGAGGATGTGGAGGAGGAGGATGTGGAGGAGGAGAAGGAGGAGGAGGAGGAGGAGGAGGAGGAGGAGGCGGCGGACACCCGCATCGGCCAGACCCCGCCCCCCTAGGGGCTGAGGTGCGAGTGCACGACCCGCTGACTAAGGATACATCCGAGACAATCCTCCTCCTTGGCCCGCTGGCCTGCTCCCCCGCCTTCTGCGGGGCCCTCCGCGACCGTGGGCGTGCCCCGCGCCTGCGACGATGCAGCGGACGACCAGCACCGGGAGTCAGGACAGGCGGGCGCCCCGTCGAAGCCGTCGATTGGACAGGACACGCGAGAGGACACAAGACCCTTCCGAGGGCCACACTGTCACAGGAACGTAGGAAGCATGGGTCGCGAGACAGAGGACACAAGGGCACCCTTGATGTGGCAGGGTCGACCTGCTACTCTGGGCCGACTGTACCCGTACCCCTCAGGCGTTCTCGGGTCAAAACTCGCGCCTCCTGCGGCCTAAAAGGACGATCTGGGCAACCGCGCAAGGCCCTCGGCGAGGCGCAGCCGCTGGAAGGCAACCCCGAGGCTGGAAGACCAATGAAAAGCAACGACAACGTCAGAAACCATGGAAACCGAAAACCCCGAGACTTGAGCCTATCCTTAGGTCGGGCACGTCCCCCTACAGGCCGATGTTGGGCGAAAACCCCGAGACTTGAGCCTATCCTTAGGTCGGGCACGTCCCCCTACAGGCCGATTTTGGGCGAAAAATGAAAAATACTCGAAGAACATTCAATCGTCAAAAATCGTCGGGAAATCGTCCCCGATGTTTGAAAACTATGTTTGAATGTTCTCCCTGTAGAGGGACGTGCCCGACTTCAGCCTATCCCTCCCTGACGCTGCCCCTGAAAGGTCACTCCGGCGAGGCGGCGAGGGGTCACTCTCTGCGTGCGGCCGATCCTCGGCCTCGGGGGCGGCCAAGAGGGGGGCGTCCAAGAGGGGGGGGGGGGCGCAAATCATGGCCGGCGGCACGTGCGCGGCCCAGTCGGGGGGCCTGGGACGTATTGAAGTAAGAAGAGGCAGCATGACATCTGGGGAGATCTCATGGCCCCCGCCATGATTTCCCCCCACCCCTAGTTATCACCCCCCTCTTGCCGCCCCCCGAGATAGCCCCCCCCCCCGCCGCGGGCTCCAGAGCCGCGGAGCGGAACCCGGCTCTCCACGGCTCCGGCACGCCGTGGAGGCTGAGGAACCCGAGCCCGTCGGCGCTGACCTGCTCGGCCGCCCCGCCCCGCCTGCGCAGGGGGCTAGTCGTGCTCGTGCGAAAGCTGGCGACAGCGCCGGCTGCAGAGGGGGCTCAGGCCCGTTCAACCCTCGCTCACCCCGGTGCCAAAGGGAGGATTGGGGGGGGAGGCGGGGGGGAGGATGGGAAGAGGAGGGAGGAGGGAGGAGTGAGGAGAAGGAGGAGGAGGAGGAGGGAGGAGGAGTGAGAGGAGGAGGAGGAGGAGGAGGAGGAGGAGGAGGAGGAGGAGGAGGAGGAGGAGGAGGAGGAGGAGGAGGAGGAGGGAGGATGAAGAGAGGAGGAGAGAGGAGGAGGAGGAGGAGGAGGAGGAGGAGGAGGAGGGAGGAGGAAGAGGAGGAGGAGGAGGAGGAGGAGGAGGAGAAGAAGGAGGAGGAGGAGGGAGGAGGAGGGGGAGGAGGAAAAGGAGGAGAAGGAGGAGGAGGAGGAGGAGGGGAGGAGGAGGAGGAGGAGGGAGGAGGAGGAGGAGGGAGGAGGAAGAGGAGGAGGAGGAGGAGGAGAAGGAGGAGGAGAGGAGGAGGAGGGAGGAGGAGGAGGATGAGAAGGAGGAGGAGGAGGAGGAGGAGGGAGGAGGAGGGAGGAGGAAGAGGAGGAGGAGGGAGGAGGAGGAGGAGGAGGAGGGAGGAGGAGGAGGAAAGAAGGAAGGAGAAATGCATGGGGGAAGGAGGAGGGGCGGATGGGGGAGAAAGAAGGAAGGAGGAGGACGGGGACGAGGAGGTAGAATGAGGAGGAGGAGGAGGAGGAGGAGGCATGAGTTCAGGGAAGAGAAGGGGGGAAGAGCAAGAAGGACGGGGCAAGGAGAAAGAGGGAGGGGAAAAGGGTGGAAACCAGGCACGTGAAAAGTGACGTCTCTCCAACAGGTGGGAAGGGACATCCTCGTTGCAACGGCTGCCCAAGGAGTACAGGGGGAGAGGAAGGGATGCCATGCCCGCGCCATCGGCCGAAGCTCGACGAGAGCCTCCTACTCCTCCACCTCCAGTTCCTCTCTATCATTCTCCATCTCTTCCTCCCCCTCCTGGTCCTTCTCATCCTCCTGGTCCTGCTCCTGCTGTTGTTCTTCTTCCCCATGCCCCTCCTGCTCATTCAGTTTGCTCAGTATCCCCCCTCCTCCTCCTCCTCCTCCTAGTCCCTGCCCCTCCTCCCTCGCCATCCTCCTCCTCCTCCTCCATCCCATCTTGCTACAGACTCCCATCCTCCTCTCCTCCCTTACCATACCTCCTACACCCTCATCCTGTGTCGTCCTCCTCCTCCTTTTCTTCCTGCCCCTCCTCATTGTCCTGCTGCTCACCCTAGCTATCTTCCTCCCCTCCAAATCCTCTTCCAACTACTCGACTACCGGGTTCTCTTCATCTCTCCGTCTTCCCCATCACCAGCATCCAGCTCATCCTCTGTGGGCATTTAATTAGCTTCACACAGTATCATTGTCTTGCATGTCATTGTCTTGCGTATCACTCCCCTCATCTTCCTCATCCTTCTCCTGCTGCTGATCCTCCACCACATGATCATGTTCCTCATCACCATCGTCGTTCTGCTCCCTCGCATCCGCAAACTCAGAATCTGGATCTTCCCTCTTATCATCGTTGTCATCCTTCACCTCCACATGCGATTACCCATTCCCTTCCTGCTCTGATCTTTCTTCTCCTCTGCACACCCACACTCGCCGTCGTCGTGCATCTCATCCGACTTCTCCTCATCCCCCCTCTCTCGCGAAGTCTCTGGAACTCCCTTGAGTTCCCCATGGGGTGGTCTCCAGAGACATCTGGAAGCCTCTGGTTACCGAAACGCATGTAAGCAACTACAGCCAAGCGCCCTAGATCCTCGAAGAGGAAGATGAGGGGGTGGCAATAGACCTGCTCTCTCCCTGGCTCCCGCGGGTGCACCTCCCTCCGTCCCTCTCCACCTCTTAGGAGGCAATTCCTTGGAGGTCTACGTGGGAACAGTTAGTCACCCTGTGACGGCCCGAACCCAGCATAACCAAGTGACCAGAATAGGTGGCCCACATGTTTCATGGATGATGGCACTGTAAGAACCGCCGTCTGATGTGCAGGCTTCATGGGGTGCGCGCGCGCGTTGAACGACTCACATGACAGTAACAGAAGGACGAGGAGCGAGGCCCTAGGCTCGGAGAGAAAGCGGGCGGGAAGGAGGGCAGGACAAGGACGGAAGGGGGGCCTAAAAGTCTGTGCGACAGCTGCATGGAGACTGCGAAGGAGGAAGAGGAGTACAACGAGGGAGGGGGGGATAAGAACGGCGAGACGATGTTTCAAGTAGTTCGCTGATGGGCAGAGATGTTCCCCTGGCATCCTGAATGATGAGCTGATGATGCGAACGACGCCCAGCTCGCCCGCCCCTCAGGGATGGGCGAAGTCTAATATGAGTCCCCAGCGGGGCGTCACTCCGCTGGCCGCTGTAGCAGCTCTCGAAAATGGAGATAGCGTCGCAGGTCGCAGCTCCCGAGAGATGGCGAGGTCTACCCTGGGCCCAGCAGCCCCCGAAAATGGTGACAGTTTCGCGGATGGCAGCCCACACGGGATGGCGAGGTCGAATCTGGGTCCCCGGCGTGGCGTCACTGTGCTGCCCCCCCTCCCCCAGCAGGCCTCGAATGTGGCGAAGGCCTCGCAGTTCGCAGCCCCCCCCAGGATAACGAGGCCTAATCTGGTTCCAAGGGCGCCGCTATGCTGCCCCTCCCCAGCAGTGAAAATTGAATCTGAGTCTGCGTGAGAAATGACCGTGCTGACCTCACACGCAGCCCTCGAAAGTGGCGAATATCTCACAATCGCAGCCCCCCTAAGGATGGCGAGGTCCAATCCGAGTTCGCGTAGGACGTCGCTGTGCTGCCCTCCAGCAGCCCTCGAACGTGGCGACGGTTTCTCAGTTCGCAGCCGTATCTGAGTCCGCGTAGGACGTCAATGCGCTGCCCCCCCCCAGCAACCTTCGAAAGTGGCGACGGATTCGCAGTTCGCAGCCCCCCAGGGATGGCGCGGTCGAATCTGAATCGGCGGAGGACGTCAGTCCCCCCCCCCAGCAGCCCTCGAAAATGGCGACGAATTCGCAGGTCGCAGCCCTCCTGGGATGGCCACGCCACGTAGGACGGCGAGGCACGAGGCGGGCTGGCATCCAGGAGAGAGCCAGGTCAGAGGCATGAGAGAAGAGAGAGGAGAGAGGGATGCGGGAAGGACGAGACGCGACCCCAGTGCTCCGCTCAGAACAAGAACGCTTCGACCACGGACGATGACGGATTAACCTCCCAGGAATGCAGCCGAACACCTCGCGCCGTCTCCGACCGTCGCCCCCCCTCCCTCTACATGCTGCTCGCGTGCCAACCTGGCTTACTGGGCCTCCCCTGGGCACAGCGCCCACGCGGACGCGAACAAGCGCGTCCAGCCGTGGACCCGGCGCCGGCCAACGTCAGCGTCGAGGCGAGTCGGACACGACAATAACAAACGAAACGCTACAAGCCTGGAGGTCCACGCAAAAACACATATGTATGTATATATCTATATGTGTGTGTATATATATATATATGTGTATGTTCCTCTTCCTATCTTTTTATAAGCCCGGGCGGGGGGAAAACCCATCCCCCCCCCAAAAAAAAACTGGACTCCCGGGATCTGGGGGCTTTGGGACCCTCCGGACGAGCCTCGAAGCGGCCCCCCTGGCCTCGCAGGGCGTTTTGCCAAGCCTTCCCAGCACACCTAGGGCGATCAGGGGGGTCATCGGAGACGTCTCAGAGACCCCATGACAGCGCAAGAGCGCTCCAAGAGTGACCGACGTGACCTCAAGATGGCCCAAGATGCCTCCAGGACGTCCCCAAAGAGGCCTCCAAGAGCACTCCCAAGAGGCACAAATCATACATTTTCTGTTAGTTTTTGGTGAATTGGGGGTTCTCCTGTTTTCGGCTTCCCGACGCTCCAAGACGGCGGTCTTCTGGGCGTCCGAAGCCAGCTGGGAGGCTCCCAAATCGCCCCACAACCATCCGAAAGGGCTTCCAGGCAATCCAAAAGAGCCCCAAAACGGCACAACACGGGTCCAAGATGGCCCTCAGAGAGCCCCATGGCGGCCCAAGATGGCCCCAAGACACCCTCCGAAGCATTCCAAATCGTGACCCGGTCGTTCAGGGAGACCGTGGTTGGAGGCAGGGTGGCCCGAGGAAGCCCCCAGAGGCCCCCAGAATACGCCCAGGAGGCCTCCAAAGGCCTTAAGAAAGCCTGAGACACTGTTTTTTTAGGCCCCCAGAGGCTCTCCCAGGAGGAGCCACCGCAAAAAAAAGCTGAGGAGGATAGGGAGAATGCGCAGGGTATGGCGAACATGAAGAAAAAGAAGCATGGAGGAAGGATAACGAATATCATTATCATAGCGGCGATGCCGGAAAAGGCAACAAGGAGTTATCGCTAAATTGTCGGCTTGATCTTCCTGCTATTCCGCCTGCAAACCAAACTTCAAGGACCGAGGTGCATGGCGCGAAGCGCCACTGCAGTCTTGTGTGTATATATATATATATATATATATATACTAGAGCCATCGCGCGCTTCGCGCGCGCTCAGGTTCTAGTTGAGGTCACCGCTCAAATGCGATGCCCGCGACGATTCTTACCACGACGACGGCGGCGTGCACTCCGCTCATGTTCGCACGCCATGTTCTGGAGGAGCGTTCCCGGAGCATGGGGCGCCAGAGGCTCCCCCGCTCTTCCCCCCTCCCGGACTATCCTGCCGAGGAACTCTTGGGTTGCGTAGGGCCGGTCTTGCGGGCTCCCTGGGGCTGTCTGGGCCCGCCTAGGGCTGTTTGGGAGCGGACCTGGAGGCGCGCTGGGCCCTAGTGGAGCGTCGGAAAGCCGAAAAGACAAGAAGGCCAAGATCCTCCAAGTCCTACGTACAATGAACGATGTTGGCCTGTTGGGACCCTCTTGGGGGTGCTCCTGGAGGCGTCTTGAGCCATGTTTGAAGAAGCTTCTTGGGAATTACCTGGGGCCTCCT